ACATCTCAAACAGCAGTGAGAACATTATAGCATGACCTCATGATGCGTTACAAACATTATCCATGTTTCCGTACAGTTATTATTTGATACAAATGCCAAAGGTGAGTCAATGCAGATGTTAAAAATGCACGTCTGAAATTACATGAAGTCAAGTCGAAGGCATTGCACTGTAAGATGTGCACATTGTATTCTGATGTATAAAGCAGTTGTGTTCCAAATCATACTGTTCAAATGCTTGTCGTGTGTGTGTGTGTGTGTGTGTGTGTGTGTGTATATATATATATATATATATATATATATATATATATATACATATATTTATTTATATATATATATATATATATATATATATATATATATATATATATATATATATATATATATATATATATATATATTTATTTATTTTTTCTTTGCCCAAACTTTTGAATGTTAGGGCAAGTAGCCTACACTGCTCACTTACACTTAACAATGCTCTCTGCCATCTAGTATTTTAAATTTAGAAAAGTATTTCCTTTTAAATAGAACACTTGACTTTTAGCCATTTTTCTTTAAAGAAGCCACATTTTAAATACACTACTAATACTACAAAATAGTACAGAAATATGTGAGATAGGACACACCTTAGTAATACACAAAGATAATTTGCATACTGTGCCCAGTATACATATTCTACACTGCAGAAATATCATTAGTATGATAGTATGTTGTGAACCCAGCCTATAAAGTACACACACACACACAGATTGTAAATCAAAAAGTCCCTGAAAAGTCATAACAGAGAACAGCCTGTCAAAATGTTTAATAAGTGTTTGTCAGCACACAAATCCCTAGACTCACAAAAAACACTTGCACACAGGAAGAGGCAATAAACAAAATAGCATTAAGCAACAGTTGAGTGACTCGCAGGATCAACATGTCTGCCATAAACACATAAATCTAAAGACAAACGAATTGAGCTGTTGTCCTGAAAGTAAACGATCCTGACTATGGGTGTTCGGAGCGCAGGAGCCAGATCGAAGAATCAGCGTTATTTCAGTACGATTATGACAAAGCTCTGAATAGTTTCAGTGACCTCTTAAGATTCAGCGTCTCTTTAGAAAATCCGTTGGTAATCTTGGAGTGAAATGCCATGGTCAGCTGACCTGGGAGCACATGGGCTCTTTGAAGTGTGAGGTATTCAAAAACAGACCGGGTTGTGTTATTATGGCCTGCTCGATTTTCCAATTAAGTCCAATCAGCACGCCGATTAATCATAACAAACCATGATCTCATGAGTGAGCCATTATTGTTCTTCAACAAGGTCAGCGCCACTCTTGTTTAGTCATTCCTCACTCCATCCGTGACCTCTCTGCGTTCAACCCCAGAATGCATCAGGACATTCTTGCAACAGCTCACGCTCCACTGGTTTGGATGAGATTAGGGAGCTAACGCAGAGCAGTCTCTGCAGCAGGAGGTCCCATCACGGCCCACCCGCCCCGTTCTGTTCTGGCCAGGGGTCAGGGGTCACGGACAACCCAGCAGCAATCTAGAGGGTGTGAATGAGTGGCAGAAGTGTGTCAACGATTGTGCGTGTTGAGGCAAGATGTTGTTAGCATTCCCTCTACCAAGGAAAAGATAAACACGCGTTGAAGTGCGTTAACCCCTGTGCGTCAACTAAAATGCCTGTCCAGAGTTTGAGGTTATCAGCAAACGGGAAGAGTTGAAACTGTGAGCAAAAGAGTAAGTCTTTGCAAGGGTGGACATACGTGGGATGAGGATAGAACACAAACAAACAAAGGCCAAAAACGAGTTAGGAGGAACATCCAGAACATTTAAGGGCCTGGAAGATGTCCATGCACCGTAGGCCAACATACGGAAAAGATTAATGGGTGGACTGAAATATTTGAAGGTGAAAAAGCGTAGAGCTTCAGTGACCCCTAGTGAACAACCCCTGACAGAGCAGGGTCACTCAGAACTGTTGCTCATCAACGAGATTTATTCACGCCAAGTGAATGCTGTGACAAGCATTAAATTGAAATAAATGTATTCCAATGGCAGAGGTGGAAAGAGTACTGAAAATTTGTACTCAAGTACAAGTACAAGTAGTTGCTAAAATAATACTCGATTACAAGCGAAAGTACTGGTGTTAAAAATGTACTTAAGTAAAAGTACAAAGTACCCCTCTCAAAAACTACTCAAGTACTAATTACTTTTTAGCCTGTGATATTTATTTACTTTTATGGAAACCAAATTATAAAAATGGTCTAATATGATTATTATTATTAATAAATTATAATGCAAAATAAATAAGCTTATTGGGTTATTTTATTTATAAACTTCTTTTTTCTTTCTTATTCAAAAAGTACCCTACTAATATTTCAAAAGTTTCAAATGTTATCAGCATTTAGCACTGACACAAATGCACAATCTAGACAGACTGTCAATTAGTGCAGTTACACTGTTATGCCAGTGGGTCGTGGCCGGCAAGATACTGTTTTTATGAAAGAGTCATTATTAAACTCTTCATTCTAAGCTTAAAACACGGATTCAATATTAATAAAACAATGTGTTAACAATGACATAGAATCTAACTTTTTAATCTAAGTTTACAATGCTAAATCTTTATTACAGTATATGTGCTTGTCACCTGAGTAAAGCTGAAGCTCATGTTTCAAGTGATGTTTTTAGTCAAATTATCGTGAGGTCTACCCAACTTTAAAAACGAAAACAACCGAACTATCACATAAATTTACCATAATGTATTTTCTGAGATTAGAGGCTGAAGTCTTGTAAGCCAAAATCACTGCAGAAACAAAGTTTCTATAAAACGGACGCTGTCTCCTTTCCTTCCTTTGTATAAGAACAACTCCTCCATGTGGGGTCATGGGCACTCGTCATCTGGTATTTCTTCGGAATTTTCAATGAATTCAGCGTCTCGAACGGCAAAGTTCTTTGATAACATTAAAATACACACTGAAGGACGTGTGAGGACGAATAGCTCTCCAGAAACCGGGATATTTTCCCAGTCCAAATACAAGGGTTTTTATTGGCCCGCCCACGATCAGTTATTTCCGTTGGATACCAAAATGCTGGTCAAAGATTTGAATAATTGTTAAATTCAAATTTTACAAGTACTTTGTAATTAATGGGATTTTTAAAGTAGTGAAGTACATTACTTAACTTAATTTGTACTCAAGTACAAGGAAAATTACAGACTTAAAAATGTACTCATAAAAGTACAAGTACACAAAAAAACTACTTAATTACAGTAATCTGAGTAGTTGTAATTCGTTACTTTCACCTCTGTCCAATGGTCGCCTTGCATCAAGTCTTAAAACAATATTTGATTACAATGTAATAACCGGCTTTTTCATCTGAAACGAATTTTTGGTTGATGTCTCTCTTTTCAACCTTTCCTCTACAACAACCTGGCTTCTTTCTGCAATGCTACAGCCACTTTGGAAGGATAAAATGAAGTCCTGACTTCACATTGTTTCTCATTTGAAAATAAGTCAAATTACATGAGTACAATGGGTTGCAGAGCACAAACTGAAGCTTTTTTTTGCAGGGACAGTGAAGGTATTAAGTCACAGATGACAGGACAGACTGTAAAAAAAAAGCCTGTACACTGTAAAAAATACATCGTATATTTTGTCAGACACTATTTTGAAGGTTAACTGAACTATTTCATGTGGACAAAGTTGTCAATACAAAAAAAAGTTAACTTTTAGGCCATTTAGTATGAGCAACTTAAATATTAAACAGCAAGAACTTGACAATTGACAACTGACTTTGGCGATGTCAATTTTGGTAAAGAAGGTCAAACTAACAGTCTTCTGAGCATGTTCAGTTTGATCACTGATCAACCATAATCCATTGAACTTGAATCATTTGTTTAGTCAAAGTATGGTGACTTATGAGTAGGGTTGGGTATCGAGAATCGAGTATCGATTGGAACCGAGACTAACTTTTCGTTTTTCCCGGAATCGTTCAAAAGTAAAAATTTCGATTCCTAGTTTCGATATTCACAGTCCGCCGAGCGGAAGAAGAAACCGCTGAACACCAATGAAGAAGTGTCTACTGGAAGTGTTGGCATAACCACGCAAGTCGAACATGAGTACCTTACGTCGGCGATCCAAAGTGTGGCTTCACTTATCTAAAAATAACGAAATCTCGGCAAAATGCAAAATTTGTGACAAAAGGAGTGTTTTTACAGAAGGAGTATTTCCTTCAGAAAGGCCGTTGGTTAGCAAGGTTAGCTAAACTTTTTTGACCCTGCCTCTTAAAAGAATCGGAATCGAGAATCGTTAGGAACCGGAATCGAAACAAGGAATCGGAATCAGAATCGTTCAAATTCAAACGATACCCAACCCTACTTATGAGCACTTCTTTTTTTTTTTTTTTTTTGTGTGTGTGTTTGTATACAGTATGTGTGATGCTCTGTCTCTGTTTTTAGGGTGACTGTGTAACATTCTGTCCAGGGTCTACGGATGAAAAATAGCCTCTTGGGCTAATTCTGGCATGTTTACACTTGCTTATGCATTGACCCTGTAAATAAATAAAGAATAAATAAAGAATAAAGAATGTAAATTTGTATTATTCAAAATTCATTATTTTCAATTCAAATGAAAATGTGTCTTTTGTTTTCACCATTAGGATGATTAGTGTTCCCTATATTAAGTTCTACACACATGTTTTGGTGCAGAGAGGGAACTATGACCATCAGAGTTTGTGCAACTAATTGTTCAGTGGAAAGGTCTGCCAAAAATAAGAACATCTCACATTAATAATGTATAATATTACTCCTCATTTTGATTAATAATAATTTTAAATTAAAAAAAAAAAATGACTGTACTTTCATTCACAAGCATACATTATGAATCATAGACATTATTTTATTATGTTTACTGAAACACAGACCAGGTTTAGTGAACCTGAACTGGTTGCTAAAAAGTTTTAGAATGTTCTAATTATCTAAGTGTAGTTGTGAATGGTACATAAAACAACTGAAGTCCCACCTGTTCTTTTTGGAGTGCTCATCTTTTCCCTTCTTCACCCCGAATATCCTTGTAATCAGAGTGCTAAACAGGAGAGTCGAGGAGTTCCTCACCTAGAAAGAGGACAGGATGGAGAAACTCATGTCAGAGCAAACCTTCCTTCCATGTAGATTTATCATTTGACCTTTGACAAATTGGTGCTTAAAATCTTAATTATGTGGTGCTGATTGATATCTACAGCCAGTTTTCTAAGGTCTATGCAATGAGTTATTAGTCTTAAACAATTATATAGTCTAATGTCTTTGATCATCTTTTTTTAAGCAAAAAAAAAAAAAAAGATTAATACTGGACAGACTTTATTCCTTATTGTTTCATATTTTACTTGTGAAGTAGTTTCTTAAATAAGAGGTTTAAACTGATACCAAAAAATGCAAACTCTCATCATTTACTGTGAAGTATAGTTTTTAAGGTGCAGTCATGTTATCACTGTTTAGGAAATAGCTTGATAAAAAAAAGAATATTTGGTTTTAAACATTTAAAAAAAAGGTTAATTTCCCCAAGAATATGACATTCTGAAGTCATTTACACACCTTTATGTTGTTCCAAATCTAACTTTTTTTTTTCTTTTCTTTGGCACATATATTAAAATTATTCTGAAAAATGCCTCAGTGTTTTTTTATGGTCATATAATGGAAGTCAATGAGCTTCAATGTTGTTTGGCTTCCAAAGTTCTTTAATTATCTTCTGTATTCACAGAAGAGATAAATGCATACAGTTTTGGAACAATATGAGGGTGAGAAAATGATGATTGAATTTTCATTTTTGAGTGAACTATCCATTTAAATGGACCTAAGGGGATTAATACATGAGATGTATTTGACATGAGAGAATAGTGAGTCAGAACACATGATGATGGCCCTCGAGACGATTACAGTGCAAAAATTGGTCTTGGAGCTCAAGGGTGTAAAAGAAAAACAAAGCCAATGGCACGCAGACATAGGAGTTATAACTTAACATAAGAAGCCAGATTTGCAGGGTCTGATGACATCTTGATTTCTAAGAACACTAAAAGGCCGTCAAATCACAATCTTATGTGGACAAAGTAATGCTGTACACACCAAACTTCAAACCTCAGTATTACCAGCTCATAACTTTGATCACAATTTTATGTCAGCTTAAGAAACATTGCTCACAGACTACAAGAAAACTGTGTGTTCTCTGTGTCTGACTGCTGCATTGTGGGAAGGATTAAGCTTACTGTACTCTCCACAGTAAAGCCTGCTGACTTCAGCTCTGCCATTAAGAGAGAAAACGGTTACAGAAGCAGATCTTTTGACATCCTGAGAGTATGTGGAATAAATGGGAGGAGAAAAAAAAGGACTCGAAAGGAATGAACTGATAAGAAAATGAAGTGAGGAGAGATGTATGAAAGAGACGTAAAGGCAGATAGACAGGTATGAGGGAGGAGAGCACAGGAATGTGACCTAGAGTTGTCGCCACCATGACCTGTAGGAGCCGTGTCGCCCATGTGGAGGTGATCAAAGCAAGCAATCCAGGGCAACCGGCCAGGACCACCGCACAGCTGTGTGTGTGTGTGTGTGTGTGTGACTGCACGTACTGCTCCTGTCCCTTGTGTTCTCCTTCACTTTAATTATTAACCTGTCAGTGTCTCAGCAAATTCTATGGTCTGACAGGGTAGTGTACGTGAGAACAAATGAGTGTGAGAAAGGTAAAAGAGACATGCGACTCTATATACCTAGTGTATAACTACATACACAATATTCTCTTTATAAAGAAATTATATACCATAAGCCCCCCTTCTCATAAAAAAGTGAAATATATTTAGTGCATGCAATGCATGTGTATGTATGTGCATCTGGATGGTTAAAGTTAAACTAATTATATTACATTACATTAGATACAAAATATCAAACCAAATGGCAACTGAAAACAAATTACTTTTTAAACTGGTTCAGAGGGAGTACGCTACATTTTGGTTAGTTATCATCACAGAAACAGATAAGGTTATAATATATTTGTTGTGGTACTGATTTACCATATGCATAAACCATGTTATTTACATGATACTTTAAAAAGTAGCTTTGGATTAAAGGGGTCCTTCATTATGATTTTTTTTTTTTTTTTAACTTTAGATATGTAATGTTGCTGTTTGAGCAACATTAGTATAAACTATAAAAAGTTTATTGAGTATAAACAACATCTGAAAAGTTACGACACAGTTCAATGCAAAGGGAGATATTTTCTTTTACAGAAATCTATTTTTAAGGACTAAAACAAACAGCAGGTAGGAACAACAATGAACTTCTTACCGGGTTGGTGACATCACAAACCCTGAAGTTCAGTATCCCAAACCTGTGATTCGAGCACAACAAGTAGTAGGTAAATAACAGACTTGAGCTAACATTGGATCAAGCAACTAAGCGATAAACATGCCTTTGAAGACTGTAGAATGTTCGCAGTGCCAGGTTGTGGAGAAACAGAGTAGCTGCATTGGATTTGCAGAGACCCTGAAATTTAAAAACGATGCTGTGCCTACTATATTAGATAGGACAGGATCGGCGCAAAACATTTAAGTGAGTAAAGAAGTTTTTACTGTGTCACTATTGTTTTGTTACAGATCGTTTGATATAAAGATTACGCGTACATGTCTAACCAAAATCACCAGTGACCAGTGATTTCTGGTATGTAATGATTCATGTAGGCCTACAGTCAGATGTTTTTGTCTCAAAATCATTTATTGTCAGTAACTGCACATTGTTTCTCTTAGCAGGATGCAAATAATCTGTTATTTAACCTGAAATCAAATTATATATAGAAAGCGATCAAGGATGTAGTAAAAGTCTCGCAGCAGAAACGCCCCTTCAGAGCATTCAAATCAGAGGCTAATATCAGGGCAGGACCATTTAATTTCTAAATTATGACCACGCATTTTTGTGGTAAAAAACATTAACAATATAAGTGAACCCCAGGAAACATTATAAAATAATGCAGTTCATGACTAACCAAAAATGTCCAAAATAAACATGGAACTTCTTTTTTGTTAGTGAAGGAAGAGACATAGACAGGATGATTAATTGTCGATAATACATTTAATCGATAAAACTTATCAATCATGCGTGCTGCTCAACCGCGAAACATGCAAGCGAGCGTGCCGGTGTAGTGAAGTGTTGAGTCCCACTGAATGACACACAGTGGAGTTGTTTGGGACTATTTTACACCTTCATCATGACTAAGTTTGCAGCCTTTTGTTTTGTGCAAATGTAAGTTGTAATAGTTTATTTTGTGTATGCCTATCTATATCTGATTTATCTCATATTGGATGCATTTAGTTAAGAATTGACATGATCTTTAGCGCGCTCAGCTCAAACCACAATGCATGACTAATAATGACTACTGGGAATACGGTCATATTACACAAGATTATAAAGAGAACAATATAGTAATAAAACGTGAATTGTTTGGGTTTAGATGCCATGTTGCGTTGTTCCAGGAAGAGCGCGTCCACCAAAACATGAGTCATTCTGAATGGCACGCAACTAAGTTTACTTATGCATTCACGTTATTTTGTGCAGATATAATTTTGTAATATTATGTTTATTTAGTATATATCTGATTAATATCAAATAGGATGTGTTACTTTATTTTTTTAAATAAACGAAGAAAAAAAACAACAAAAAAAACAAAGTGCTCAACGGTTATTCATTCAGCGCGCGCCACTCAAGCAGAATGCACGACTAATAATAACGATGGTTAATTTGGGACTGTCATATTACATAGCATGAGAACACTATTTTATTAAATGGTTGTGAATTCATTGACAAGCACGTATCGGTCACCAACGCTGCATTGTATTTGTCGTTTTATTTATATATTAAATAATTCATTTAATTTATCAATTATCAAAATGTATTAATTTGGTGAGGAATTATAGCTTTTTGAGCAGCATTTGCATACTGTAATGCTGTTTGCCATTAATGCTAACGATAAATCGATTAATTGATCGTAAATTTAAACGACGATCGATCATGGGAATTTGTGAAAATTGACATCCCTAGACAGAACATGAGAAAAGGGATTATTATTATTATTATTATTATTATACACTCACGGCCCACACAGGAGAAGTGAAACCTAGGATAGCAGCTTGCATGCCCTCTGACACAAACGGCACAATGTTCTCCCCCAGACGTGTATCTCGATACAAAGCCCTCAGGATGTTCAGAGCATGGACCTGTATGTGCATAAAAACAAATAAAAAAAAAAGTCCCATTAAACATGTCTGATCCAATTCATAGTTTCCTCAGAGTAAAGGTCCTTTCTGGATGAGATTTTAACACACAAATAATTTGCGCGATTGTTTTATTTTTTTAACAGCTGTTGTATAATGAGTCCTTCCACACTGAACGCGAATGTGCTGCGGCGAAAAAAAACGACTTTTATTTTTTTCGCTTCGATGTCGATTTTTTTTTTTTACTTTTGAGGCGAAAGAAAAGGCTTCAGCCAATCATATACTGTACAAGGAAACAAACGTGACCGCAGCAATAGCGGATCTTCTGATTGCTTGTGTGTCGAGTCGTCTGTGAATGAAAATCTGAAACAAGGACTGGAGGAACGTTGTGCTCATTCATTCGTATAGAGCCCAACCGGGTGTTTACAAGGCTTTTCAGTCTATTTGAGCTTCAATCCGTTTACTAAAAGTGTTTGTTTGATTGCATATAGACGAATCCGACGAGCGTTCTGTGTAGGCTGCCATCTTGTGGCGACGCCATTACTGAGCTGTTACACAGGCATAGACATATGCACCGGTATGTAAACAAACCTCGGTGATAACGCGAACTCACCCTCGATGACAGCTACAGCCAGGCAGAATGACTTGTTGGGTTGATCTGTGACTGCAGTGGCCTCCAGTCACAGATGAAGGTACAAACGATCTTACAGATTAACGTTATTTATGAAAATAGCTTGGCAAGCTAGCTAGGCTAACGTTTGCTAACGAGGAAACTATAAAAAAGATCTGTCCATTTGGCAACAATAAATAAATAAATAAATGAAATCAAATAAACAAATTCATGTTTTTCATTTGTGTCCATTATTTATCTCATTTTCACATTGCAACAGGCAAGGGTAAGGTAACGTTACAGCTAGAAAGTATACATAATATCGACCATTTAGTGTTTTTAAACCATGGAAAGAGGTCAATAGAACAGCAGGAGAAAAAGGTCACATAACGTTACATTTAGCTCAAGAAAGCCATTTAATGACCATAGCATGTTAATTGAATAGAAAAAATAGCAAGAGAGGAGATTTTGCTGATCACTATATCACATATTTATTATATATTTTTTTTACTTATGTCATTAAATAATTGTTATTATACGCGAATGTCCACGTCTTGTACTCGCCCAGGAAATCTGTAAACCGTACGGCACCAGACAGGGGCAGTCGACCCGGGGTATTCACAGTGTTTTCTCTTCAAAATTGAAATTTTACTGCCACCATTGAAACAATTTATAACGGAAACTGTTTACCCACTCGACATTATACAAGGGATGAGGTTGTAACGTTAGTGACAGTCGTAAATCGCGGGCTGTTTATTCCAGTGGACGCAAGTTGCAACTAAAACAATAGGAGGCAATGGCGCAACGCTACCCAGCAACAGCTCAGTAATGGCGCCCCGCTTACTTCCGGTAGTTTCGCCGGATTCGTCTATACACAGGAAATTTTATCATATCATTATAAACTGATGAATTTGTTGACTAAATGCTGCATTAGTAGAGAAAGAACCGCACAACAGTATGTTTGTTTGCCTTCGAGAGTGGCTGAGAGGACGCACATTAGTAGGTACCTCAATATACCTCAAGCGGTTAAAACACTGACACAAAAATACACCTAAGTCCGACCCGAATGTTTAATGTCACAAATTGTTACCATCTATTTGCATTAGTTTATATCCAGCTTGTCACTTTGATGCATTCATTATGCAGCGACGTCGCATATAAGCTAGAGACGTATGATAGCAAACTGATATGTTCATACAGCCGAGTCGACAAAAACAAATGAATCAGAGAAGCATTCGATTTCGGTTCTTTTTTCACCATCACTTTAATACATATTTATTTTTATTAAATATTCATTAAGTTCTATAAAATACAGGGCTCCAGACTGCGACCAAATAGTCGCATTTTGAGAGTGTGCGACCGGTAAATTTGACGCGTCAATGAATCCGTGACAAGAATAGCGCGATTAAACGTCTATGGGAACATGAGAGACGGAGTGAGACGGAAACAAATATCACAACCTGATGTGCGTCTGAGCAATAAGCGATATACAAACAAAATGAAAGTGGAACTAAAATACGCAACTCATATATAAGGCTATGCTTCACGGACCGTTGGCGTTTTTATTTGGTTGGACCAATAATAGACAGAGCCCCCCGAACCACCGACGGTAATAAAGCCCCGAACTTGCCAGTCGCTGGTTAACACATTAATTAACATTAGCTAAGGTTAATAAATGCTGTTCATTGTTTGTTAATTAACATACTACATTTTTAAATTAAGATTTTTATTTAACCATAGTTAAAACTCTATGAACTAACATGAATGATCAAGGTGAAATTGTATTGCTCAAATATTAATCCTGTAAACATTTATATTGCATAATGCACATAGTTCATGTAAACTAGCTAATAAATCATTGTTAACAAATTGGACTTGCAACATGTTATAGCTAAAGAAACACACATTTGACATGTTTTATTGTTTAAATTATTTTCAGATGGCAAATTTAGTTATTATTTGAAAAATAACAGTTACATTTGGAACGTTTAATTTGTTATTTAGATTATTATTTTTTGTTTGTTTGAAAGAATGCCTTTTATTGACATGTTTTCATGGTTCATACAGTTTTTTGTATTTTTATAATAAAGTTCAGCACTGTTTTACTTGGAGTGTTATGTTTGTTTTTATCCAGTATCAATTTTAAAAACTATCGGTTGATTAATCGGTTATCGGCAAGTACAGCCCAACCTAGCTATCGTTATCGGTAAAATCCAATATCGGTCGACCTCTATTTTCTAATGAACGTATGTGCTTATTTTTTTTTTTATAAAGCCTATAACAATGTAAAGCATCATGTTAACATCACTGCAAAAAAGACATCTAATATAAAATCTATATTTATTCACCTAGTAGGCTATAATAATAAGTATATAGTATGTTTTCTCCCTTAAAATCAGGTCTGCTTTCCTGCAACAGAGCAATAGCCAGGTGTTCACCCTCGGCGCGAATGTTTTGGAATGTTGAAGCTCTGAACGTCGCAAATTCGCGTCGTGGCTGATGTGAATGGTTTTGACGCAAACTATTCTCACGCGAACTATTGGCTTTTTCGTTTCGCTTTTTCGTTACGCGTCCGGTGTGAAAGGGCCTTAAAGCTGTGTGTGTGTGTGTGTACCTGTGGCACAGTGCTGCTTTCAGTAGCTCCATCGTTAGATGGCATGGCCAATGCCGTCAGAGACGTCATGGTCATCTTCAGGAGTCCACAGCTGGATGATTTAGGCTCAGAAGACAGCAGGGCCTACACAGAGATGTATTATACTTATCGCTTACAATGGAAGTTCCCACACTTTTGACATGATTTGGAATGACATGTGGGCCAGTAAATAATGACAGAATTTTCATTTTTGGATAGACTATCCTTTAAGTTGTATTTTAAACAGCACATTCCTATGAGACTGGGACAGTGAATGACAGCATGACAGTGGAAAAAATGACTCACGGTTTGTAACCGAATACAGTCTCTGGAGTTCTTTTGTCCCTGTGCCAAAGGGTGTGAACTGATCACGCAAGACCACCTTTTCCGGGACATTCCGCAGGAATGTGTGCTTATGCCAAGGTGTTGAGTTTATCCATTCTCTCTTCGTCTAATTCTTCCCTAAAACATTCTCATTGTCATGTGTTTCAGATCCAAAACCCATTTTTCCTTGACTTCAGTATTCAGCTATTTTGACCTTTCAGAGGATTGTCCACTGGGGAAGATCTCAATCATAAAAAACTATGAGGACTCAATTACCGATTCACAGATGTTCAGATAAAACTAATGAAACTGTGAAATCTTCAGAGATTGTCAGATCATTGCATATTTGTAAAAGAACAAATGTTTTGAGGGTGCTATACATCAGAACTTTACACACATTAGTGGTAAATTTAGGCTATGCTTAGACTGCAGGCAATAGTGGCCCAAATCAAACAGTTTTCTCATACAAGACCAAGATCTGTTTGTTTCAAAACAGTGTGAACCATATGGAATCTGATCTTTTCGAATCCAATTTGGGCCACTTCCATATGTGGTCCTTAATCAGATACAGATCTGATGTTTTGCAAAGCAACCTCAGTATAACCAGTCAAATCAGAATGCATGCAACTTTTGTTGTATACCATACTAAAAACTACCTTCATTCTTTGTGGCATAAATTCAACAAGGTTCTGGAAACATTCTGCAAAATTTTTTGTCCCTATTGCCAATCATATAACGCAGTTGCTGCAGATTTGTTGGCTGCACATACATGATGCAAATCTCCGGCTCCACCACATCCCAAAGGTGCTTGTTGAGATTGAGATCTGGTGACTGAAGAGGCCATTTGATTATAGTGAACTTATTGTCATGTTCAAGAAACCCGTTTGAGATGATCTTTGGGACTTGGTCGTGCATTATCCTGCTGGAAGTAGCCATCAGAGGATGGGGACACTATGGTCATAAAGGGATGGACATGGTCAGCAACAATACTCAGGTATTCAGAATCGTCCACGTCACATCTAAGAATCCATTTTTTACCACACCCCTAGTAGATCTAGACTGGGTTTCCCATGCTGCCTTCCCGCAGCGCGATTTTATTCACGCTGAAAGGCAGTATGGATACCATGGTCCAGATTTTCGCCTCATGTAGGGAACCAATCACAGAATGGGGAGGGAGCAGCAAGACGATGACGACATCTATGTGACACACTGAAGCAGTTTGTTTATTTCTATGAATTCAACATGGCAGCAGATGCGAAGCTACCTTTTGATGCAGTCTTAAGCCCCTTTCACACAGCGAGTTGATCCCGGGAAATTGCCAGAACACCTTCTGTGTGAACGCAAACACGACCTGGGATTGATTCTGGGATTGATCCCGGGTTGGGGACCTAATAACATTGCTGGAATCAGTCCCGGAACGCGCGCTGTGTGAACAAAAGCCAGGACCAATGCCGTAAAGGGTGTGTCATAGTGATGACGCTCGTGCCATCGAACGATTTTGTTGCTCTAGAAGAAAGTTTGTGTTCGTCATCAACAAAGAAAGGACAAACAAAGACCAGCAAACTGGAGCGAAGCAGAGACCAGGAGCTCCTCACTATCCGTACTGAAGCTGAGATTGTTCACCAGCTTTGTGAAACAGTATGCGCGTGTACATGTTTTCGACGCGTCCGTTATACGTCTTATCCTGACGTCATGGGTCTTCCCGGGATTTTTACAGGTTGTGTGTGAATGCACTCACAGATCCCGGCAAATCACTGGCAGTCTGGCAGTGTGAATGAACCGAAATCAAATAATTCTGGGACAAATGCTGGGTCACATTATCCGTGTATTTTCTGGAATCTCTGTGTGAAGGGGCTTAAGATATTGTTCTAAGTAGTTTAGAATGCAAGTTTATTTTGAAAAAAGAGCAGCTTTTGGCGTTAAACTTCGCAAGACCCCAGTCGTTATTGTTGTCTCGCCATTAATCGCCCTAATGGAGGACCAGGTACAGGAGGCGGTCAACCTTGGAATATCTGTCGCTCAGCTGTGTCCCGAGAAAGAAAATGCGATAAAGAATTCTCGATACCAACTTCTGTTCGGCAGTTCCGAGGCCTGGATGAGCACAAAGTGGCAAGACATGTTAGCCACGGAGTTGTATAGTACCAACCTGCAAGGCATCGTCGTCGACGAAGTCCATTTAACTTATAAATGGTAAGTGGTATTAATTAATATCATATAGTCATTATGCCTGTAGACCTACTGTGGTTGTCACAGTGCCACTAAGTTGTGTTGTTTTTCAATATCAATACACAGCTACCGCTTTAGTAGCATAACTTTCAGCTGTGCACACATACCCGATTAAAGTTGTTGACACTTTAGTCATTAAATAAAATATTTACATTTTTTAAACTTGTGAAGTACAAGTGCAAACAATTCCCAATGCAAATAACAACTTCAACATCTATGTTAAACTGTACTTAATACTTGTGTTTTTCTAATTGAAACGATTTGCTATGAGCTACGTACAGGCGCATCTGATAGACATTCTTAGCACCCAATAAATGACGCCGGGCATTCCTAAACCACGCCTCAAATACTAGAAAATGAGCATGTGTTTCCCAGACCCAAGTCTCAATGAGAATTGGATCTGGTGTTAGCCAGGCTAGTAGATCAGCAGTTTCTGAAATACTCAGACAGCCCATTTGGCACCTACAACCATGGCACGTTTAAAGTCACTTAAATCACTTTACTTTCTCATTCTGATACTCAGTCTGAAGTTCAGCAGATCGTCTTGACCATGTCTACATGGCTAAATGCATTAAGTTTCTGCCATGTGATTGGCTGATTGGGTTAACAAGCAGTTGAATAGGTGCACCTAATAAAGTGGACGGTGAAACTAAACATACAATCTAAAAAGCAATTTATGGGATCTGTAATCACAACTCAAAACGTTTTTGAGTTTAGTTGACATTATAAATGTTCATTACATTAAGTTAATATGGTGTATAATTTAAACAAAAAATTCTGAGTTAATTTGAATATTCTTTACAAATTAAGTTGAAGTAATAACTTTGTAAATTGGGTGGTGGATTTGTACTTCCCAGCATGATTTGCATAGTACAGGATACAAGTTATTTATAAACAAATACTTGTTTAGTGTATGCATGGATAAATTGTTCAAAAAAAACAATAACATCAATTTAGTCAATAACAAGAATAAAGTTTCATTTCATGCTGACTTTAAATATAGAAATTTGTATTAAAAAAAAATATATATATTTTTTTTTTATATACATTTTCATTGCTGTACATAGAGTACTAACCTGGATATAGAAGGGTACTCCCGCACTGCGGCGGGTAGCACACAGTTTAGAGGAGGGGTCACTGGATTTTACTTCTTCAAGAACCTCCTTCAGCCAATGTGCTGGCAGCTGCTGGAGTGTAGTACTCCCACTCCTGACACACAGACACACACAGATATTACAGAAAAACCCACATAATAGCTTGTTGTGGAATTATGAACAAGAGATTGGCTCCCATGACTGTGGTCCTCCAAGTTTATGTGGTTCCCAGTTTCTCTAAGACATTTTTGTTAACTTATTCTCAGATGTGATATTATCGACGGTTTTCAAAGCAATCTGAAAATCAAATCGCATCCAAATGTGATAAAGCAGAAACTATAAAATATAAATGAATTTGAACAGTCATTTGAGGAAAACGTCAAGCTAGAGCCAAGTTACATTAGAGCAGAAAAGTTGTGAGGATAAACATTGATTCTTTGTGGAGTCTGCTGTTATCAAGACCCAGTGTAGGACCATATGATGCTTTCAGATACCACACAGTATGAGACGCATCACTTTTAGGTTCTATTAGAACTCTTATTATTATTCTGTTTAAAAGTTTAAAAGAAAAAAACGTTTATTCATGGATTCATTCAATTGATCAAAAGTGACAGTAAATATATATAAAATCTTACAAAACATTTTTATTTCAAATAAATTATATTCTTATGAACGTTCTATTCAAAGAATCCTGAAAAATTGCATCACAATTTACACAAAAACAAAGCAGCACAACATAATATTGATAATAATAATAATAAATGTTTCCTAAGCACCAAATCAGCATATTAAAATGATTTCTGAAAGATCATGTGACAAAAAAAAAATCTTAAAAAAAAAATCGTACTACCTTCAAACTTTTCAAAGTGACTAAAGCAAATGCTACAATAAAATGATTTTTCCGACAATTTCTTATTCACGCAGTGATTAAGAAATCAAATCTGAAAATAATAATAATAATAATTTGAGGAATCATTCTTGTCTGTAGCAACACAGAACGAGATACACAACACACTTTAATACTTCAGGTTAAGAGTTTATTCAAATCTCTATTCCAAAGTATGACCAATAATAATAGAGATGCTTGCCTCAGCAAGCACTGTAATTACACTGCAAACCTCGGATGAATACACACACACAAACACATAGCAGGAGCTGCCCAAGCGTGTGCAGAACGCCCACTTTGAGAGCGGAGAAAAATGTGAGGCTTTCGTTATGAAAAGTACCGTTATACCAGACGCGCTGGACCGAGCAGGCCAGATCAAACAATCCAAACCACACAGTAAGCGCCCACGCACACACACACACCTCACTCAGTAATATACAACCCCAAACACAAGGCGATACCTTCAAAAGGCAGCCGATGAACGCCCCACAATCAACACCTCGTAACGGGCATAGTGGTTGCCGGTGGAGGCGTGTGATCACACTGCAATGCTTTTTCTCCAGAAGCACCTCTGAGACTCAATACAGCCACAACTGTTAATACAGGCTGATCCACCACAAACACACACACTACTGCTTCCTCAGGGATTTCAAGAAAAGTTGGCATCTCAGGACTAATCATATGTTTGCACGCACATTTCTGGGTGTTTTGAACCTTATTTACAGGGATGCCAGAAAAATGACAGGAAATAATAGGGAAAAGATACAAACCAGACTATAACCCCAAATCACACACTTGAGCACAACATTTCAATCACTATGCATAAACATATTTACTAAACGGCTCAGGCTCAATTATAGTGGGTAATACCCACTTCACAATCAATTAATTCGGTAACACTTTACAATAAGGTTCATTAGTTAACATGTACTAATAATGAACAATACTTCTTCAGCATTTATTAATCTTAGTTAATAGTAATTCCAACATTTACTAATACATTATTAACAATCAAAGGTTGTATTAGTTAACATTAGTTAATGCACTGTGAACTAACATGAACACACAATGAACAGCTGTATTTATATTAACTAATATTAACAAAGATTAATAAACACTGTAACTAATGCATTGCTCATTGTTAGTTCATGTTAGTTAATGCATTTACTAATGTTAACTAATGAACCTTATTGTAAAGTGTTACCATTAATTCCTTACAAAATTGTAATTATAAGTTATTATAAATACGTTTCATCCATTTTTATCATTACATATCCTGTTTCATTTGAAACAAGTAACAATAAGAAACAATGAATTGTAAACAACATGGATTTAACTTCTATTCTAGTTCGTGCTTCTTATATTCATTGATCTCCAGCCCAAAAACTACTCTGCCCACTTAAAAGCCCACAATACACCTACTTTCCACCATTTCTCATAACCTGGAGAGATTGAGAACACTTTTAACATAGCAATTAACAGCAAAGACTAACTTGTGAAGAGCAAAAAACTAGTTAACTAAATATATATATAGCACACAATAACCAAATTGCTTTCAAATTTAAGTTGTACGTCTTGATTATGTAAGGGAGTCACTTATGTTAATGTCAACAGAGAACACTCCCTTTTATAACCAAACTGAGTATATTTATCAAGTCAAAATGAATTTATATAGCATATTTAAAAGCAACAGAGTTGTGCCAATTTGCTGTACAACAAAATGTCCAGCATATAAAAAGAAATCATTCAAGGAAAACATGCAGCGTACAAAATATAAACACATTAAATAAAATACAATTAGAAAACTTCAAGATACAACTCTTAAACTACACCTAATCAAAAGCCAGAGAGAACAAATAAGATTTAAGAGCCGATTTAAAACTGGCTAGTGGAGGAGCAAACCTCACATTTACAAGCAAACTGTTCCAAAGTTTAGGTGCTGCAGAAGAGAAGGCCCGACCACCCTGTTTTACAGTCAAAATGGGGGACTGTTAAAGGAATTCACTTAAAAAAAAAAAAAAAAAAAAAAAAAAAAAACTTTTGCTGATAATTTACTCATCCCCATGTCATCCAAGATATCCATGTCATTCGTTCTTCAGTCGAAAAGAAATTAAGGTTCTTGATGAAAACATTCCAGGATTTTCTCCATATAATGGACTTCAATGGGAACCAAGGAGTGTTTGGACCAAATGGTTCAAGGTCCAAATGAGAGTTTCAGTGCAGCTTCAAAGGGCTTTAAATGACACCAGACGATTAATAAGGGTCTTATCTAGCTTAAATGATTGGTCATTTCAAAAATAAATAAAAAAGTTTAAGTTTTATGAGCACAAATGCTCGCCTTGCTCTGTTCTGTGATGAGCGTTCGTGACTCTCCTGTTCAAACTCGTTCATCAAAATGAACAAATCTTTTTTCGAGTCATGACTCGAAGGGTCCTAGATAAGACCCTTATTCATTGTCTGGTGTCATTTAAAGCCCTTTGAAGCTGCACTGAAACTCTCATTTGGACCTTGAACAGTTTTTAATCCCAATGAAGTCCATTATATGGAGAAAATCCTGGAATGTTTTCATCAAAAACCTTAATTTCTTTTCGACTGAGGAAAGAAAGACGTGGACATCTTGGATGACATGGGGATGAGTAAATTATCAGCAGAAGTTTTTTTTTTTTTTTTTTTTTTTTTAAAGTGAACTACTCCTTTAAGGTTGTTTATTATTCATCAACATTCATCAACCCAGTTGATTATTATAATTTTCTCTTTATAGTTTAAATCCCTAGACATGGTGTTATATATCATTAGAACTTTTAATAATCCTCATTTAGAGATAGATCATTTCTGCATAAATACCAGTAAATAATCTTGCAATTCAAACAATTCATTTGCATTTGTGATCCTCTTATGTGATGGTTGAGAACGAGCTGCCATTCATGTATGCATTTATGAATAAAATGAATGAATACAATGCCAATGTATTTGGTCTTGGCGGAATAAATCTACTACACTGATTCTACTTCAGAGCAAGTACCGAGACTTGCTACTGCGAATACCTTCACAGACATGCTGTGAGCATATAAGACATACTGCTGCTGCTACACATGTAACAGAAATGATTTAACCCCGTAGCAGATCTATACAGGTGGTGCTGGGGAAGGGGAAGGGTTCTGAAAGCACACTGCAGACTGAAACAGCAAACAATAGCAAGTACTGTATTTGAATGTTTGAGCAGCAAGCTCATTGGCAGCTGCTTGCAAAAGATATCAATCAGCTGTGTTATTTAGATAACAACATGATTGCTACCAATAAGTTACAGACCTATTAGCCTTCACCATGCAGAGTTTCATGCAGGAACTATGTAATACTGGAACAAACTAAACCAAAAATATAAATATTGCCTTGCAACTAACTGAAATAAGTTTAATTTAATGTTTTTGAGCTATTTTAATGTATGTTTAATAGTTTTTGTTCTAATTAACGATAACAACACTATGACCGTTTCTATTTCATGGAAATAAAAAAAGAGAACTGCAGAGGTTTATTAAATTTACAACTACACAACAGCAGAACTGATCTGATGTCCTTATTCAGGTCACTGTTGTGAAAGCGAGCGAGTCAATTTCCTTAACTTCTGCGCAGAGGCCACATTCCAAAGCTCATTAAATCTCACATTTCCAGATGTTAACAGTTTTCAAACTTCCTGATTATTTGAAGCTTGTTTTCCACCCAGCAGCTGAGAGGTAGCATGGCTGGGGTCATTCAGGTATGAAATATTGTTGCCAAGCACAACATTAGGGGCTCTGGTGTAGCAGTCCCCATGACTCCCTCATCGCACATTCTTAGAAAAAAGGGTTCTATATATGTAGCATAGGGTTTTTTACTCAACTACAAAGGACCTTTTATGGAAAAAAAATTGATGATAATGACAAGAAAGAACCCCTTTGGCACAAAGGTTATTAATAGGCTATTATTAATTCATATATTACATTATTCTGCAACATTTTGCAGTTGTAATTAAAATATTGTTTATTAAACTGTTGTAGTAACTTAATATCGCATTTTAATCATGCTGATTTTTGGAGGATAAAAACTGAAACACACTCTTCATGTGATATTGATTAATTACATTTTTTAACCCCCATATCTTGAATTTTGTGATCATTCCCATGCATTGCATTTTAGGGGTTCCAAATATGTAGCGCTTTAGAACCTTTTAAGGTTCTATATAGAACCTTTTCTTCTAAAAGTGTAAGATGCACACTTGTTCTGTCTGAGGCCTTTGGGTTGAAAACATCTTGAATTTGTGTAATGACAAGGGAGCTATTTTACAGGACAGCGAGTTGACAAGTCAGTATATGTGTTTTTATCATTATTATTTTATTGTTGAGGCCAGTCAAACAACCTAATAGAGTTTGATCTCTCACCTGCAGAGCATCTCAGTAAGCCGAACAAATCCCACATAGGCCAGTTCAAACGCCCCCCTGTGACGAGACTGCAGCAGCTGCTCCCGAAAGTACTTGCCCACACCTTCCACCTGAGAGAAACACAGACAGACAGATTGACTAAATAGCTACTCAAATTAAAAAGTTAGCATTTTGTACATACCGCCAAAATAAAATATAGTAGACATCAAAAATAAAATCTAGATGGACACAACTGCTAAATATCTGGTCTAACTTATATTCTTATGGGTTCTAAAAACTTCACTCAGGCAGTCACTTAACCCCATTTTAATGTCTATGTATTCAGAATGCAATGCCATTACATATAGACCATTTCACAAGATGTAAACAACACTGGTCCAGAAGCATTTCCTGTTTCAGTTTGTAACTGTTTTCTTTATTTCACATGTAAAGAAAACATCTTAAAGATGTTTGTTTAACTTTTTGATTCAGTTTTAAATGTTCTGTTGGTTGTATTTTATCCCAGCTTTTATGTAGTGTTAAAAAACTGAAACAGGAAGTGCTTCTGGACCAGTGTTGTTTACATCTTGTGAAATGGTCTATACAGTAGTGGCCAAAAGTGATGCCCGACCAAGGAAAATTCCCTTGTTTTCACTTTATTCAAACTTATTACATTTTCTTTTTTTCCTATTTTGTATGCATGATGTGAAGTTGTGCTTGGAGTATAAAACTAATGTGTGTGTTTCAGGTTCCAATTGTATGATTTAACATGATGCAATGACTCATACCAAGCTTGCAGTCATTATTCTCAGTCTTTAATTCAATAAATCACTATGTGGCCAGTATTAGCTATAACTTTAGATGTTATTTTGGAAGGAGCTGTTCCTGCAACTATATCTGCAACTATATTGTTGAAATGGCTAAGTCTGATCGATCGTTTTAAGATATTGCTCACATGCAAGATATGAATGGCCACAATGTCCACAAAGAACAGTGACACCACTACCATGCTGAATGTAAAGTGCTGTGGCTGGTCAGGGAGTTTTGACAGGAGGATGAAAATCAACTGAATGTGGGACCACCTCCAAACAGCTTCTACGGACCTGGATGAGATTGTGAGTAACCCATTTAATTTTGAACTCTATCCAACAGCTACAAGAGGCTGGGCTGAGAGGTTGTGTACCAGTAAAGAAACCATTTATTAGTTGTATCTGATGCAAAAAAAATGCAGTGCATTTGCCAAAGAACATAAGGACTGAAGTGTGGAAGATTGGAGCAATGTTCTGCAGTCCAACAAGTCAAAACAACCTAGCACTGGATGGTGGCATGTGTGTTCATAGTCATGATTTAATGACAAATGCAATCATGGCGCCATTAAGCACGGCAGGGAAACAGGTTCTGGAAGGATCTAGGAAGTTGCTGGCACTTTAAAAATGGACCAATATTGGAAATTCTGATGAACACAGTCAAGTATGGAGTTCAAATGTGTATTTTACACAATGATAACAATCCCAAACACACCAGGATTACAAAAAGATGCTTGCAATACTTTTTTTTTTTTAAACCAAATTTAGAAATTTAAATCTGAATTTAAATAGGCCCCTCATTTTATTTCTGAATGGCAAACATTCATGCTAACAAATAAGCTTGGTAAAATAGATACTGTACTGTACATGTCAGCCTCTGCTCCAAAATCAACAAAATAGCACAACAAAACAGTGGTTAAGGAGCAACCGTTTATTCCAAATGCTTTAGCTTCAGTAGGACTTTATTTAGCCAAACACTTCCTATTTGCAACTTCACCCGCAAATCCCCCTCCCCCACCTGACCCCAAAACCACTACCACCAAACTTTGCTTACGCTCCACGTGCACAGAGAAATTTCCCAACGCGACCAGCTAATTACTGTCAGGGTCAGTGACCTAAATGCAGCTTTTCCTGCATGTCTAACACTAAGAGGGGTTAATGCAAGTCTAAAGCTGTTGGTCTTGATTCCAATAACTCAAATTCTGGTTAAAATAGCTATTGAGAAAGAAAAGAAAAACAATAAAATATCACAGACAGTGCAATCAAACGTGAGTTCATGAAAGCACCACAACACATGGGCTAGAACTGAGAAGATGACGCAGATGACGTCCTGGCAGGCAGAAGCACTACACTGTCTGTTCACAAGCAGCAGAAGACATCCGCTGTACATAAAACTGCCTTCATAAGCATGTCTGCAGATTTCACTGTAGATTTTAACGAGACTTGAATTTGTTTAACCAACCTACTTATTTAAACCAGATACATTTCCTAAATCATTGCTACACAACAAGAGAAAAATAAAAATGGTATGTTGTCTTCCCGTTTGGCAAATAATGACCGTTGAAGGTCAATCCCACCAGTCTGCTATGAATATGCCTGACCAGAGTTAGATACCACCTTGCTTTAGCAGGAAATAATACTTAGCAAACCTTTAGTTATAATAGTGTCAACTTTTAGTTACAATGGTGTAAAATGTTGTCACATACAGGTAAGAAAGCTGTTGAAATAGTGTTCCATTTTTAACTTAATGCTGTTTAAAAAGCAGACAAAGTACGATATAATTTTCAGTGACAATAACTGTTAAAGAGGTGACGAACTGAGAAATCAAATTTTCCTTGAGGTTTTGACATCTTAGAGGTCATCATATCATAAGAATATCCTCTAATTTTCAGAGCTGAAAACGTCCTTGTTAGTCCAATAAAAGCTTTTATTGACACCAGCCTCTGCAAAAGACCAAAAAGATCAACTCATACTTCAACACGGACGGTTTAGCCCCGCTCACCGATTCACGCATAGATGCCTACCTCGTGATGACAAACCGGATCGAGCAATACAAAATATTGTGCAGTGCCGGGTTGTGGAAGAAGACAGTCGCTGCAAATGTTTCCTCTGGATTCCAATAGGACTACATGGGTAAACTTTATTTTTAATTACGTTACAGCTGATGAGGTAAAACATTGTCCGTATATTCGCTTCATTTCACTGAGGATTGTTTTGTAAACAAGACTGGATTTGCAGACCGATTAAGAGTAAAGAACGGTGCTGTGCAGTCTATATTGAATCTGACAGGAATTGCGCAACACATGGACTCTGGGTCGAACATGTATGGGCGAATCATTCGGGTTGCCATTTTACAACATTGGGCGTTTTCAAAACAATTTCACCCAAGTGCAGACAGGTGAGTTGAAACTCATTATAATATGCAAAACTGTTATCCACTCACGGCAGTGGCCGTTTACTTCAGTCTTCAGTGCGAGACGCCCATAAAAACGAGCGTTTTTCAGCTAGGCTAAAAAAAACTAGGGTACAAAATAGCCTATTACTTATTCATTTTGATGTTTTTGAATGCAAAAACCAAGCGAACGTCATAAGTTGATCTCAGACAAAAAAATAACAAAATTTAAAAAGGCAGTTCATAACCCCTTTAATAACCCTCTGTTGATCTGACAGTCCATGTGTGGGGATACAACAATGTGGAAGTATAATCTGTAGCTGTCAAAAGTCTTTTGCTGACAAACAAATATGATTTTTTTGTTCAGGTAGCACAAGGGGAGTAAACATTGTTCATTTACATATACTACACATTGTAACAATACAAAGCGGTTCGAACATCTACAAAGTTACACTTTAACACTAACAATGTTTCCAAACCAAGCAGCATTTTGTTGGTCAACATGATGAACCCACTGTGAAATCTGCAAGGGAAAATCTTTCACCTGCAGGAGAAATTCCAGATATCATGGATACCAATTGAATTGCCCGGATTTTGCTGACGAAAATTAGCCAAACAAAAGAATAGATAAAAATGTACAGTTAAATATCAGCTCTAGAAATGTTTCAAGCTAATGCAGCTAACTAGTAAACAGAGTACAGTACTTAAACTTATGACAGCCACTGGATTATAAAAATTATCAGCTCTCAGCTAATTCTGAGTTCACACTGCACGATTTTAGGCCTGATTTTCACTCACCGACAGATTTTACAAAATCGCTGACAAATGCCTGAAATCAGAGGCAAATCAGAGCTCTATCCAAACTAAACATGCAAAAAGATCTTGAGAAAAATGTGTAGGCCCTTAATTATTTCACAGCAACGATCTACTCAATAGAAACTGGCATATTTGACTGTAAAGAGCATTTGATGGTCAAGTGACCAGAGTACGACTTATTTGGGTACCACACTGATGGTGAAAAGCATCCCCTACTGAGAAGCGGTTCACTTTTAAGTAAAGGAATCATACACCATCAAGATGTGACTAACTGCTTGCAGTTGCCATGGCGCCTCCAAAGTCTAAAAACATGTGCCGTGTTTCCACAGCGACGGAGGACATAACAGGATGCAGGACACACACATTTGGGAAACAGAAACTTCACCATCATAAACACACGCTCGGTCCGAACCCTCTGATGAAATGTGGTCTGGAAAAATATGTTGTATGAGGCATAAACACAAACCGCAAACACAAGCCATGTGGACCCCAACAGCATCGTTAGATCATCCTTTACATAACAGGCGAATATGCCATGGTAACCACACCAGTGACATCACTGAATAACTTCACTCCATCTGTTAAAGCACTGAAGTCATTTTAGCAGGACAGAGCGGTGAAAATAACAATCATACTGACACATTAACGCGTTCACTGAGGCCGCTGGCTGATCAACACGAATTCCCAATCTGAAACCTTCGCACAGATATCAAGTAACAGCTCTAATGATATATTACTTCATTACTTCAGCGCAAGAGATGTTGCAAGGTCTGCTCCCTCCCTTGCTAATTTCTGGATTTGGAAACTACAGCAATCTATCAAGAAAACAAAGTGGGAACATTTGATCAAGCTGTCTGAGCTTGGCCGAAGTTACGCTCTTAGCTTAAGACATCAAAAACAAATTTAAGAGTTTAAACCTCCAGCCCCTCAACTGCTATGCAAAATCTGCTCTGCACAGGATGTTACAAAATAACCTTAAATGAACCTAAGAAGAATCTAAACTTTAAACCTTAATATTTTCTTCTGAAGGCATACAATAGTTTTGTGTGAGGACTGATAAACTTAGCATCCACTATACCTCTAAATCTATTTTTCAATTCTGCACTTTCACTTCATTAGTTAGAAGATACAGCGCTTAAATTTATTAGACCACCTGCCATAATAAACAGAAAACACTAAATATTTCAGGAATCTGTTAACTTTTTTAAAACTAAATTTTGTATTGTCATTTATTAGGCAAATAACAAATTGAAACATTATTCAATAACCAAAAAATTTAAATGTGTATGCAAACCTTTGGTCATGATAGCAGACATGTTTTTGATTAAACTTTTATGCGATCCATCTTTGAATCCAATAAATCCCTAATTTGTTCAATAGGATGCAACTCCGGACTTTGACTTGGCCGACTGTGACTAAAGAACTACACATACTGGTGGATTTATCATTTCAGAAACAAAAAAAATGTTTTGGTAAAACCAATACTGTTTGTTTAGGACAGCTGTGGCACAAATCTTACATTGGGTGGTAGTCTAATAAATGTATTAAGCACTGTATGTTAATTCACTGAAATCAAACCTGTGTGATTTATCTTCATCTAGTATGTACGGAATAATTGAAGAAGGGCTGTTGAATTATAAGAAAATAATAATGATCAGATGTTGCATCTCAAGACACTTATCTGGGCTTTGTCCTTAAAGTCCTACTGAGCAGAGAAATTAAATACATTTTTAAATGATACCAGTAAATGAATTAAATTAGGCATTTCTAAAATCAGAGATATAGTGAAATTAAATAAACTGAAATTCAAAAAAATCTTAAATGGCAGATTACATTTTTATTTTATTTTATAAAACTACAAAACAATACAATTATAGAGAGAAAATATCAAATAAAATAAAAAATAAAAAAGATTAATTTGTTTTTGTTTTGTTTTTTGACTAATATTTCTTGATTTACACAGAAAAAGTCAGCCATATAGGTTTGTATAAACATGAGGTTCAATAAGTGTTGGGCAATCTATTCGCTAGGCTAGGATTAGGTTTCTCGCTAGGCTAGGTTTCAGGACAAGGCCCATTTAAGAAAGGGAATTTTCACTTTACACCTCAAGCTATTTTTTGTTCAATGTAGAGTGAATCTACACAGACACTGTTATAAACAAATGTTCATATTGTTCTCAAAGTGCTCAAGTCTTTAAGTCGGGGAGGTTTTGAATATATATCAGGATGTAGGAAACATTCATGTTTATATATCGTATTAGCACATTGGACCGAGATGCTGCCAGAACAACCGCTGCAAGAGTCTCAGGTGTAAAAACCTGGTGAATGAGTTCTGTGTGAAGTGGTTCAGCTCTTCAGGGAAAAAGGAAGCTATTTGAAAAGAATGTAGGATAGGAAAGGTAGTCGGCCCATTAAACAGCAGGCTGGTCTGAAATGAAAGCACTATGCTAAGAGGGCGCATGCTAATTGAAGCCGGGCACAGCAGGACACAACATATATATTCACATGGTTTAAACAACTGCCGACGGAAAATAACTGCCCTGCTAAACACAGGCAGCTGGCAAGGTTCATGTTGAATTAGAGTCCAGCACTGCTCCAAACCCTAGTGAGCTGCATACCTAGCGACCATCTAGACTAGACACATCATAAGTACACTTTTATCCTGAAGCATAGGGAGCAAAATTATGCTTCCTTCTAACAAAATAATAATAAATAATAATAAATTCATTAAATTTATATAGCGCTTCTCTGCACTCAAAGCGCTTTACATAGAGAGGGGAATCTCCTCAACCACCACCAGTGTGCGGCATCCACCTGGATGTTGCGACGGCAGCCATAGTGTGCCAGAACGCTCACCACACACCAGCTTACTGGTGGAGAGGAGACAGTGATGAAGCCAATTGGTATAGATGGGGATGATTAGGAGGCCATGATGGACAGAGGCCACTGGGCAAATTTGGCCAGGATGTCGGGGATTTTTAATGACCACAGAGAGTCAGGACCTCGGTTTAACGTCTCATCCGAAGGACGGTGCTCTTTGACAGTATTGTGTCCCCATTACTATACTGGGGCATTAGGACCCACACAGACCACAGGGTGAGCACCCCCTGCTGGCCTCACTAACACCTCTTCCAGCAGCAACCTGACTTTCTCAGAAGGTCTCCCATCCAGGTACTAACCAGACTCAGCCCTGCTTAGCTTCAGTGGGCAACCAGTCTTGGGCTACAGGGTGATATGGCTGCTGGCTCAGCTATAACATACCTCATTTCAGCCACATACGAAAGCAGTATCGCATGTATCCTTTACAAATAAGGCAATCCCAGAATGCACTGCGACAACTGAAGAAAAAAAAAAAACGCTCTTTACACTTAAAGGTAAGAACTATTAAAGGGTTATCTGAATAAAAGCCTAAATTAAATCTGTTCATCATATAAAGAGATCGTGTCTCTTCAGGCAGGGGCGTAGCCATCTCAGAAGTGAGCAGGACAGAAACGTCAAGAGCAATACCAGTTTGTTTTCTTTATTTTTCTTATCTCTTGCATTTTATTGGCTAAGAAATCAAATACACTGCTGAATAATTGCCACTAATTTGGAAAAATGTATTCTATAATATTTTTCCCTATATTTTCCTTATGACAATTTGATGATTAGTTTATGTACCACACACACCTGTGCATTAAGTCATCATGGATTTTATACAAGGTAAAAATCCTCATATTCTTATCAGAGAATTTTCTACAGGAGGGTGCCCTCCGGCTTCCAGCATGAATAAAACAGACTTTATAAGGGAGTGTTTAGCATTCCATAATGCTCACATCGCGCTGTGTGGCTTCAGGTCATGCATAGAATATCTTGTCTGTTTGAAATAAAATCTAGATTCATTCACATTGGCCCATGAAAACCCCTACGGGAATCCACTTTCGTGTATGTCTTATTGAAAGTGAGGGGGACACATCCCAACTCGCTCCTTCATTCTACGCTCATGTCTTCAGACATTTTCGACTAAACCTCTCAATTCATATGGATTAGTTTTAAAATTTATCTATCAAATTTTTAAAAATCAAATAAAATAAAATTTGATTTTGCTATTTGGGGGTTTGGTTGCTAAGAAATTTATGAACAAATAATAAAATTTTAAAATAAATTTTTGTATCGGACTGAAAACCAATGCAGAGAACGTAGGATTGGGGTGATGTGATCTCGTTTGCACCATTTGGAGACGAGTGATGGAAGAGAGAGGTAACCCGACATATGAGCTACAGTAGCCGAGTCGTGTTGAAATAAAAGCGTGAGTAACTTTCAAAACTATCTATACTTTGGCTTTTGGCTTGCTTAGTTGTGGACATTTAATATTCGAAAAATGTTACTGATCTGGCTTACTTCAGGTGGATGATGATGCAATTTTCTTCTAGAAACAAACTTGTTGTATTATTTTCATGTTATCACTGTGAAGCTGCTTTGATACAATCTGTATAGTAAAAAGTGCTATATAAATAAAGGTGTCTTAACTTAGATTACATTAAAAAAAATTCATTTGTGTTTCAAAGATGACCTAAAATCTATGCGATACCGGCGATATTTTATGCCCTAAATCTACATGATTAACTAACTATTTTATCTATGTATGTTTCTGAAATGCACTTTCTGTAAAGCTGCTTTAAAACAATATGTATTGTGAAAAGCGGTATACAAATGAATTTGAATTTAATTGAATAATTGAAAGGGAAGCACACAGCATGTATTTACATTATTTAAAGGGGGGGAAAAGCACCAAGAAGCTCCATACGGGATAAAATTCCACCTGAGAAGGAAGCCTACTATGAAGAGAGTAGACACTGAGGCAGCTCCCTAGGGATTAGAACAGAGTCTTTAAGTCTGTACTGGAAATACATTTGACATTTTCTTTTCAATGGGTGCCAGGCTCAGCCTTATGGCAAATGAAGTTGTATTCAAAATGATCACATTTTCCTGATGCCTCTTCAGGGGCTGTTCGCGAGACCATATTTAAGTCTGTATTAGCTATTACCATGACGTCTCATCTCTCAGCCTTGAGCTCAAAAAGATCAGCTTACTGGTAAAAGTCTCCACACTACATTGTGAGGTACAGTTCTCCATTATATCTGACTAGCTTATGTAACCAAGATCTTGGCTTCAGGGAGAGCCCAGCGGTTTCTATTATAACAGTCTCAGTGAGGAGTGTGTATATGCATGTCAGACAGTGAATAGTAGATCAGGTGACACCTGACAAGTATCTGACCTGGTCCTCCGTGATGACTCCTCTGCTGTCAGGGTGTGTGAGAGGACAATACAGGCTCATGCTCTGACACATATGACCCAGTAACATGGACACCTCTTTCATGGTCCTCCAGCAACACACCAGCACCATCTGAGCGGTGACTCGATAGGCCTCTCCATCACTGCCACCTAGACAACATAAATAAACACACACACAAATAAGCACTCGGAATCACTGATCAAATGTCGGCCTCTCATGGACAGGATATGTATTACAGCAACACCACCCCATCATTGGAAATGAATTATGGCTAAAAGTATGATGTTTAAAATATCAGTAGATCCCTAAATCTATGAAATTTGAGCTTTTTCGAAACGGATACTACGGTAAAGGGCATTAGGGCAATAAGGTAGATGAGCTGCATATAGTGATGGGCAAATGTGTTTGTACCAGTGTTACAGATTTGTTGTCTATGAACTTCGTTCTCTGGCTCTTTCTGCTCACTGTTATGGCCGGTCTCACTGGGGTCCAGCTCTCTGGCACTGGTGAAAAAGTCGTTTGAGTCACGGGGTTGAATCTCCTGCAGGATTTTCTGTAGGTCAGCAGAGGTCTCTGTGGAGAGAGAGAAAAAAAATGTGATGAAATAACACATATGCAACTGAATGTAAAGTAAATAAAGTGTCTTGACTCTAAACTGTCCTGATTCTGTGCTCCAATAACCATGTCACAAAGAATGCATCACAGAACCAGTGCAAAATAAATAAAGGTCAGTGTCATAAAGAACAACAAGTCTATTCCAACATTTGAATTTTTCAAAATTACTTGCTCTTACCAAAAATATTTGCATGGTTGGTGATAACAGAAAATGGTGGAAAACAAGGCTCCTCAATACAGCAATTTCATTGGCTATTTGGGCTGTCAGTCATGTGTCTGTCATAAGGTCAATTATGACAAGCGAGGTAGCATAGTACAACAAATCAAATCAAAGGCTGCAATTTAATTAAGTGTTTAGTAATGTTGAACTACGTGTTTCAGAGTGAAGAGCAGCGTTGTGTTAATTTACATGCAAGCAACTCATCATCTTGAAGTCTTAGAGCATTTGAATGCTTGAAAGTGAAACATTTTAAGTCCCCCATTATGCTTTTTCACATATTACATTTCATACAGTGCGTCATATAGCTGATCAAAGTGTTGTTATTGTCTGCCTAAAGAAAGAACTGATTCTAAACTGCCTGAAACAAGTCGTCAGCAATTTCAGTCTTACATCCGCACATACTTATGTAGGTTTGTAACCAAATTGGGTAACACTTTATTTGAAGGGGTGTGCATAAGACTGTCATGAAACTGTCATAAACATGACATAACACCTGTCATAAACATGAAGGAGTCTTTATGACTGTTGTTATTAAGTGTCATTCGGTAAATTATGACACTTTTAATGCAAAGTTGACATTGTTTAAAATGACTTTGTTATGACAACTTGACATTAACCAAGAAATCATAACTAGTCCAACATGTTCCACTTTACTTGAGGACAAGTAAAATATTCATGTCACAGTTATAATGGTGTCATGACAACCAAAGTTAAAACCAACCATAACATATGACAGGGTAATGTAATGTTAACACAAAGCTAAATTACCTCTTTAAGTTTGATAATTAGACCTGTTATGACATATTTGTGACAAATTGACAGGTTATGATTTCTTGGTTAATGTCAAGTTGTCATAACAAAGACATTTTTGTCTTTTTTTAATGTCAAGTTGTCATAACAAAAACATTTTAAACAATGTCAACTTTGCATTAAAAGTGTCATAATTTACCGAATGACACTTAATGACATTAGTCATAAACATTCATAAAGACTCCTTCATGTTCATGACAGTTGTTATGTCAGTCTTATGACCCCTTCAAATAAAGTTGTGTTACCCAAAATTGTATGATGCTAACCAATGAACGTCAAAAAAGGGACTGAATTTATAGAGTTTATAGAGACTGAATCCTTTATCATTTTAGACACTGTGAGAAAAGCCTCTTCCTCGCCACTACATTTTCATATTATTCAATGTTTTTCCATGTGTGAGTAATGTAAAACAGTTCTGCCCATTAACAGGCACAGAAATATTACCATCACAGTATAAACAGCATAGCAATCGGTTGACGCATTAGTACTTTCACACGAGACATATCAAATCAAGGAGCCGGCTACTTGTGCAATACTTGGCATGATAACAGCTGGTTAGGACTCACTTATTTAGGACAGTGTTAGATGCATTTACCAGACTCTGTATCCATGGGAATGAGGCCCTCGGGGGAAGAGCTCTGAACCACAGGTGACACAACATCAGACATCTTGTAGCACAGGCCTATGAGCTCTGACACAACAGCCCTCCATTGAGACAGCAGCGCAAGTGATCTAAACACAGACATATCTCAACCACATGAACACCAGTCAAAATAAATGCCAAGACCTCTGTAAGTAGATGATTAAAGGTAAAGTGTGTGTGGAAGTACCCAGTGTTGAGCTGTTGGAGTACTGCAGTGATGCAGTGAGCTCTGCCATATAAAGGACAGCAAGCAGAAGCTTGCAGAAGAGACGACTCTGCCTTCAAAATCTCTTCCTTTAGACAAATCATCAGCCACTGCACCACTGAAACATCACAAACAAATTCTAGAATTTAGATACCGATATACAGAGGTATAAAATGGACTCATTTTGTACTTGAAAGTGGGCATCTTTGCTTTTTTTATTTTTTATTTATTCAAATAACCATTGATCAACACATGCAATTAGAACATCAAATATGAAAAAAAGAGGAAGCTCAACAGTACTTAGAACAGAACAAAACTCATTTATTCTTGCAGAAGCTAAATTGTGCTTGCATGACAAGAAAACAAACCTCATTGGTTTATTTATTGTGTATGCATCAGGCAAATATATTTGAATTTCTGTTTACCTTGTAAACCATTTGATATGCTATATGTATTTTTGGGGTGAACTTTTAAGAAAGGACACGGGTTTTTTGAAGTGTTAAACATGCTTTTACATTCACAATTAACCTTCCTATTATCTTTGGGGTCAATTTGACCCCATTCAATGTTTAACGTCTGTAAAAACATACAATTTTATTTATTTTTTTTGCTTCAAATTTAATGACTTGTCCTAATTTAATGGGGACAACTCTGTAAACATAAAATTTACCTGCTAATATTTTTTCAAAGTCCTGTACAAATTTTGTAGCATCGGTGTTCCTTGGGGTCAATTTGACCCCAGGCTCTTTTAGTTGTATAATAAAACAGAAGAAATATTGAAATTTCACACACATTTGTTTTGGTTGTTATATTGAGGTAATTATAACATGTTATAATTTGAATTTACAATGTTCATTGTCATTTTACATATTCAATATCATTTTCAAAAAACGTTCCTCTGTTTTAGGGCTCTAACCAAACATAACCATATCTGTAGTATTGCGAGAACTACAAGTAGTTCACATGACATGTGACATAATTCTCAAGATAACTAATAATTCTTCCCTGTGTATTTGGGAGGGGAAAACATCATTTTTGTGAGAACTTGGATGTTTCCCGTGCCATGGGGGAGGAAAAAACATAATTTTTGTGAGATTGACCCCAAACATAACTCGTGTTACTATCCTTGATAAAATAAATAGTTTTTCTTTCCAAATTTTATAGATTACAAAAATCTATACTTAGAAATATTATAAAACAAAATAAAACACCAGATGTATTTATACTTTTCCAATTTTAGGTCAAATCAGTAAGATTTTATGTTGATTTGTAAATTTGTCCATAGTCGTGCAATGGGTATTCTGGATGTGTAAGGGGTTAGGTGGGGTTAGGTGGGGTGGGGAGGGTGGTGGTGGGTGGATGTCAACTTAAAACGTTACTTAAGTAGTCAACAAAGACATAAATTAACTAAGACAAAACTTTGTAAAAAAAAAAAATACACATATTGTGGAGGTTTAAATTACTGTGTAAATTACTGGGTAATTACTGGGTAAAAAGTGTTATCAGATTTGAGGGTAACAGGAGGGTTAAATTATGGAAAGTCTGGAGATTCTTGAAAACTGACATCCTGCTTACATCTACAATCATTCAGATGGCATTTTGGATCATACCTCCACCCATCAATGATGTTCATCTAACACCAGGGACGAATTACAACACCATGGGCACAGACTTGTCTAAACATCCCCCTGCATGCCATTTTTTTTTTTGTTTAGCCGGGTGGGGTAAGGGTTTTGGCTGCAGCTCTCAGATATCACGTTCAGCAGGGGTGGGGGGGTTGGGTATTGTTGCTATCTCTTTTCTAGTGTCATGGGCATGAGCATAATGTGTAGGATAATGTGTCAATAATGCATCCCTGTCTAGTATACCTGCCAAGGTGTTCTGCTCCAGAGTGGACGCCTCAGGCACCTGGGACTGGTTCAGTGCTGGTGGCCGGAGAGGGATGTTCTGCGCTTGAATACAGCTGAGTAACGCGTCTTGTAGACCCGGCTGGTGCAGGAGCAGATTGAGAAGATGAGCAGCAGTGACGCTGTCGAAGGGTTTGGTGCTGGTACTGAGGTTCAGAGCAACCTGAAGCAAAGACTGCAGCCTCTCCGGCTCCTAATCAGATGAGGAAAAACATACATATTCATTTGAGCGGTAACACTTTACAATAAGGTTCATTAGTTAACAACATTAGTTAACATTAACTAAGAATGAACAATACTTCTATAGCATTTGTTAATCATTGTTAATGTTAATTTCAACATTTACAAATACTTTATTAAAATCTTGTTAACATTAGTTAATGCATTGTGAACTAACATTAACAAACAATGAACAGCTGGATTTGTATTAACTAACGTTAACAAAAATTAACAAAAACAGTAACAAATGTATTGCTCATGGTTAATTCATGTTAGTTAATACATTAACTAATGTTTAATAAATGAACCTTATTGTAAAGTGTTACCATTTAAGCATTAATTAATACTAGTAACATTGTCTCATCCCAAGACGTCATCATCCGTCGTTTTAGGGTACCCTTTAACATCAGTAAGATGACGATCCTGGGGCGTCATCCAACTGACACTTTACCTTTAACGTCAGTTAGGTGATGGGCTAGGTTTGGGTCTGGGGTAGGGTTAGGATTAGATAACGTCATCTAACCAACGTTTAAGGGTACCCTAAAACGGCGGATGTTGACGTATGATCGATGAGACTGCGCTGATACTAGTGACAGACTCTTATTTTTACACTGACCTGAAGCTGCACTGCAGCAGGGGGCAGTTTTTGTAAGAGGTTGCAGGCGAGCTGTTTGACTTCAAGAAAGTTGTTTGCAAGGCAGTACAGCACAGCTTGGGCATGAGCTACACTTACTGACTCTCCAAGAGCAAAGCCAACAGAGCCTGAAACAAAGAGAAGAAACATCTTGAAGAGCAGGGTGGGTTATATAAAGCTGTCTATTTGATATAATTCTAATTAATAATTCTACTTTATTTAAGTAAATAACACATACACAAGTTTAGCTATTAAAATTTCATTTTACATAATATTTACTAAAATAAACAGAAATAAATTATTTGAAAATAAATCGATTTGAAAAACCTTCAAATCTGTTAAAAAATAAGATAATTATTTATAATTTATATAGAAATCTCTTGATTCTGTAACCCAATTATAATATTTTTCACAAATAAATAAGATTTAAAAAAAAAAACACTTAAATGGTATACTCAGTAATCAGGGGGGTATTGCACAAAAGTAGAATTAAGAAAGTCAGGATAACTGAACAATCGCGGTTTGACCTAGTCTGATCAGTGCATCCTGGCTTAATCCGTTGCACGTTTGCTGAGCCAGGATGAGAACGCGCGGATATGTCAAGCCAGGTGTATATAGTTTGGATAAATGCACGTTCACGGCATTCTTAAAAAGAGCACGAAATCGATCACAGAATCACCGATCCAAAAATGGACAAAACGCGTGCGGCATACTTTTCGCATAATGAGCAACAGCTTCTAATGGAAACATATGAAGAAGTGAAACATATATAATATGTAAAAAAGCTAATAAAGATGCTTTAATAAAACAAAGATAGAATACCTGGCAAACAATAGCAGACCGATTGAACGCGTAAATCCATAACCACACTCTAAAGAATGCTGGGTTGTTTTATCCCTATTTTGGGTCAAATATGGACAAACCCAAATGTTGGATTTAAAAATGCAATTAGTAAATTTAACCCAACAGCTGGGTTTGCCCATATTTGACCCAAAATTAGTTTAAAACAACCCAGCATTATTTTTTGAGTGTGCAGTGCTTAATTACAATTCGAGGAGTTACTTGTCATTTAAAAACATAATTGTATACTTTGCCTTAAATGTGACCAGTGGACATACATTTAACATGAAGAATAATTGCAGACACTTACCCACTATGTGTCAATTTGATGTATTTAGATTGTTTTATGTCTAGTATCTCTTTAATCTTTTTACTCTCATCTATTTGTAGGTTTTGTTTCCTAATTGATTTAATGTAATCTATAATCAGATATTTTGCTCTATTTTTATCCATCTAATCTATTTCATCATTTGTATCTATGTATCTAACATAGATAACGTGTATCTAACATAGATAACATCTAACATGTATTTAACATGTATCTAACAATTGCATCTAAAGAACAAACATGTCTGGCCAAAAATGGACTTGGCAGCAAGTCAAGATTAAATACAAGAATATTTTGCAGGCTGGTAAGTGACTTGTCTGCAGGGAACATGGTGACGATTAAATGTCATGTTTGCTGATATTTAATCGTCTGTGCTGATTTTAGCAATAAAAAAAAGGTCATATATCTGGTACGGGGGTGGCCCTCCATCCCAAGATTACACCACAGCAGAGGAGCTGGCCCTATAACTGGCCCTATAAAGGGAAGCCAGTGATTCCAATGGGTCAGCCCTCTCTCGGAAGACTCTTTCATGCCTGAATGCTCGTCTGAGTATTAAAACTTCCTCATCAACTGCATCATCCAACAAAGGGCAAGCCATTGTGAAAAGGAAAAACAAATCTTTAGTCTATATATACACTACATATTAACCTTGTGACAGACTTAAATGAAACCACATTTACGACTTAATGAGCCATTTCTTATTATCTCATCAACTGCAATAAAATATCCTATAATTTTCTCATTCAACTATACATTTTACTCTATATTTGCATAGATATGCATAGGCTATATTCTATTTCTCATATTGTATAGTAGTTCTTTTGCATTGTGTTGGCATTTATTGTGGAAAGCAAAGTTATAATTGCTCAGGAAAATCTGTTTTCCTCACTGCAGGTGTATGCCAATAAATGCTTTAAATCTCAAATAATATATATATATATATATATATTCATCAAACCTCTGACAGTGAAATGAACAGCAGTTTTTAATAATAACTAAAATAGCAGTACACATACTTAGATGAATGACAGTATATTTAGTATTTTAATGCAGGACCATTAAGTAACTAAAACATTAATATTAGTAGGATTTAGGGAGGAACTAGCCGATTTTTAATTAGTAGGATTAATTATTAGGAGAAATTACTAGGATTAATCTTAGCCTGGTTGTTAGCCTGCTCAAGAGCAGGCTAGCTGCAAAGTGTAAATCTCCATAGTAACTTAATGTAGATTAATTTAGCCTCCCTTCATGCAACCGAGTCAGGGCTAAATTCAGCCAGGATAACTGGAAAATCCCAGCTTAATCCTGTTAATCCCAAATGAAGTTGCACAAATTAAAAGAAAAAGTATAGTCTGGTTCCAGTAAGTGAAACCATTACGAATATCGTTCGATATTACCCTTGAATGTGTCAAGTCAACCACTAGAGGCGACATCCTTCGGAGTTAATTTGAAAAAAATATATATGAAAACTCAGCTTACCTGTGCTAAAGGTAAAGAGTTCAGAGATCAGCAGCAGCAGGTGCAGAGCCATCAAACACCTGGAAAACGAGGCTCCTGGATGAAGCACCTGAAATAGAGTCTCACAGAACCAGCGCAGGAACTCCTGATAAGAAAAAGAAAAATAATGATGTATATCTCTTGGTTATAGGGCAAGATATGTCCACTATTTCTGTTATAATTATGACAAAGCTGCTTGTTTGTAACTTTTTTTTTTATTAACTCAGTGTTGACATATTAAATTAATTCATTTAGATTCATTTTGGTTCCAAACATTTTAAGGACTGTGTATTGTTCAATAAAAACAATAGAGTGCTGCAGTTATATTTTTTTTATTTATTTTTTTTTATTTTTTTTTTTGTAGGCCAACCTGGAGGTTAGCATCACCCTGGTTCCCTTGACAAAAAGCCAATTACATTTTCAAATGGCTTTTGGATTACTGCAGAAAATAAGCACTGGGGCCAAATAAAAGTTTATGATTCTTACTCATTTTGTTCACGATAATCAACTTATGAATTTTGAAGTCTAAAAACAATGGGCCTCATTCACCAAGCATTTGTAAGAACAAATTTGTGTGTGAAATCTGCATGATTTGTTTCACAAACAAATCAGGATTCACCAAAAACTTTCGTACTAAAATTTGTTGTAAATTTACAAAAATGTAGGAACAACTAAAACCACACATATGCAAAAAAAAGCACATTCTCTGTGCAGCCTTTAATCGTGTTTGGTAGTTAGATTATCTCCAATTGCTCAATTCCAATTGGAGATGAAATTCCAGCAAATGAGAGCAGAACATTTTTCTTCTGTTATCCTAATGTTTATTGCTTCATGTGTGTCTCCTGTATTTAACACATTACTCAAAATAGTCATGTAAACAGACGACTCTTATCTCTCTGTTCATAATGTTCTTTGGCACTTCTTGCTGTTTAGATAAGGATTTCTAAATCCACTCCTTTAGCTATATTTTCCAAGCAATTTTTTTGTATTAGTTATGCAAGTTTCAAATGCAAAAATGCCTATTGAGTAAAATCATTTCCAAAGAAAAGGATTCAAGACCAATGAAAGTACTGTCAGTGGAGTTTATCATAATTGTATCACAGTTCTACCTGGTACATGTTGAGGACTTGCTGATCTCTGTCGTTCTCACGCTGTTCCTGTCTCTTTTGCAGAAGCTGAGCACTGTCCTTCACCCTACACAAGAGCTGACAACACAAAACAGTCAGGAGCCAATCAGAACACACTTACAATGTCCTCTAACCAATCAAAGCTTGATCTGATATTGGTTTCTACCTTCTTTAACAGACTGATGGTCTGCTGTCTGACACCTGGTGACTGACTGTTCAGATTAAAAGGCAAGAAGTGACGGATCAGCTCCATTTCTTGTCTGGAAAGTTTTTCTGTGCTACGATGGCTTTCACATAGCAAACCCAGAGCATCCATTCGCACCTGAAATGACATAAAAAGCCACAATTTCCCTTTTGGTGTTCTAGTGCCACAGAAATGACACACCTTAACATGTCAGACATTAATTATTAAAGGTTCAATAAAATGTAACGTGTTCCAGGTAACCTGATCATGTTTGTGCACCAGAGCCTGTCGCATTAGTGGGAGGGACACCAAGCCACCCCACAGTTCTTCCTCATCAGTCCTGAGAACCCCCTGAGACCGGGCAGCACGCAGACACGTCATTAGAGCCCCCAACGCACCTCTGCTACCAGCCCCTGAGGAACAACCGTACTTGACACTTAAAGGCACAATGTAATTTTTTCGCCACTAGAGGTCATTTATTAAAAACAAAGGCAAAGATTGATGACGCCTTGATTTTGTGGAATTTGTTGTCTTCACCTCTACAGCCGGTGGAGAATATGATGTGACTCGGGCAGAAATCATATGCATGGGTGGCCGGTAATGTATTAAAGATTTATTAAAGGGTTAGTTCACCCAAAAATGAAAATTAAGTCATTAATTACTCACCCCCACTCTGTACCAACCCCGTAAGACCTTCGTTCTTCTTCGGAACACACTTGACGGCCCATAAAGTCATTAAAGAAAATGTTTAAATATTCCATGTGCCTACAGCGGCTCAATTATAAGTTTATCAAGCGACGAGAATACTTTTTATGCGAAAAAAAACCATAAATAACGACTTTATTCGACTATTTCATTACTTCCTTATGGGTCTTGAGACGAGAATTGAAGAGATTTCCAGAACGCATGCGCGAGAACTGAGCTGAGGACGTTCTTCTTCGACTACTTCTTGTTACCGGCTGCTCACAGCTAGTATTACCGCCCCCTACCGTATAAGATGACGTGCTGATATAGCTGGAAGCGCAAAACTTTCTGTTTACAAGCAGAGGAAGACGTGCGCTGTACATACCTGTACGCGTTTCAATTACCGTATTTTCCGCACTATAAGGCGCACTGAAAAGCCTTTAATCTTCTCAAATACGACAGTGCTGTGCGCCTTACAATCCGGAGCACCTTATACTAGTGTTGTCAAAAAACTCGGTACTTCGGTACCAAGTCGGTACTAAAAAAAAAAAAATGTTACGGTACCAGCTTTTCTAGGTACCGAATACCAGGTTCGTCCAGTTCTGTTCTAGACGCGATGTCTGAAACGTGCACAGTTGCGTCCTCTTCATAACGCTGATATGGCTCTCTCTCTCTGAATCCACTTGTTGAAACGAAAGGAGGAAAGAGCCACATATGGAAATATTTTGGATTAGGCTAATGTCACGTTGCCATAAGAGGCCGATTACATGCAAATTCGCAATTTCAAATATAGGCGTGATTCAAGCGCGCTCCTAATAAAAACTCGTTGGCGTTGCATAGCAACGACAGACGCCGCGTGAGAGCAAGCGCTTTGGAAAGAATAAGCACGCGCAAAAATATAATTAAAAAACACGCGCGACATGTGAACGGCCTCTAAAGTGCTTTCGGGGTAGTTTTACGAGTACATGAGCACAGTAGTATCTACCCGACACCAGAGTACTATGGTATTAGTATTATCATTTAATGTCAGTGCCAGTTCTAGGCGTATTTTTGCCTTTATAACTCAGCAGGTTTAAAAAGCCTTTTTAAAATTAAATATGAATGCAGTTTTAGATTAATAAAAGGACAGTCAAGTCAAATAAAACATGTTTTATGGTAATGCTACAAAGATACCATTCATAAACATTACTTAGTTATCAACACATTGAGTGAACAATATATTTTTACAACATTAATTAATGTTTGAAAATGTTATTTATTACAAACACCTGATTGTTAATGTTTGTTCACTTAATTCATTGTGCATTAAATAAATAATGGATTAAAACTTTACAAACAACTTTAAAAATGTGTTAGTTAGTGTATAATATTGTTTATTTTAGGTCATTTTATCTAATCTTTTTCTAAAGTGTTTATAATACAAATGTACAGTTTCCATACTTGTAACCGTGATAAACACTTAAATATATGTAAATTTAAACTAAGCTTTGGTACCGAAATTGGTACCGAGAACCGTGAATTTTAACTGGTATCGGTACCGAATACTGAAATTTTGGTACCGTGACAACACTACCTTATACTGTATATGGATCATCATCTTATACGGTAGGTGGCGGTAATACTCCTAAGCGGTGAGCAGCCGGTAACAAGAAGTAGTCGAAGAAGAACGTCCTCAGCTCAGTTCTCGCGCATGCGTTCTGGAAATCTCTTCAATTCTCGTCTCAAGGCCCATAAGGAAGTAATGGAATAGTCGAATAAAGTTATTTATGTTTTTTTCGCACAAAAAGTTTTCTCGTCGCTTGATAAACTTATAATTGAGTTTATATACTTATAAATGTAGGCACATGGAATATTTAAACATTTTCTTTAATGACTTTATGGGCCGTCAAGTGCTAGTCCCTTAGGAAGTCTATGGAGGAGTGATCCAGCTCTCAAATTTAATCAAAAATATCTTCATTTGTGTTCCGAAGATGAACGAAGGTCTTACATGGTTGGTACAGCATGGGGGTGAGTAATTAATGACTTAATTTTCATTTTTGAGTGAACTAACCCTTTGACGTTACAAAAACCGTTGGAGCAGAACGAGGCTGCTGGAGCGATTGGTAATGAGAGACCTCTGTGCGTTCGCTCGGCAGTTACTATATGAGATATATGAGCTAGATCGATATTAGGCATGGCAAATACAGTACTCGCGGTAAAACAAGAAAACGAGATTTAAACAAAAAGAGTAACTGTGTTGAGCTGTATAACAATGATTTGTTTTCTGTTGATGAATGTATCCAAACAGTGGCTCAGCTTTCTAAAACACATCATATATTAAAGCGTCTTTGTTGTTTCCATGTTTTCTACAAAATAAAACCGGATATCGAGGGTAAAGCGGTTAAATTGTCATTGGTGACGCACGGATCCATGTCATGGTTAAAACGGCTTATTTCTCTGAATTTAAATATTCTTAGAAACATTTGGGATAATTTAAGCATAGAAATCAACAAAATATATACCATTGTTTGATTGTTTTTTGGATATTTTGATCTAAAAATCTTACATTGTGTGCCTTTAAATAGATAGATAGATAGATAGATAGATAGATAGATAGATAGATAGATAGATAGATAGATAGATAGATAGATAGATAGATAGATAGTTTATCTTTTCAAATAAAATATATACACATATATGTATTGCATTGCAGGTTAAATGTCTCTTACCCTCAGTGCAAGACGGCATCTCCTGCAGGGCCTGTACCATGTGGCTAAGGCTGGAGGGGTTGCAGCGTAGCAGTTTGGGCAGGAAGTAGTCTAGGATATAAGTGGTTTGATCCAATCGGGCTGTACACAGCACCTGCAGCAGAGGTGTCACCCAAACCTTGTGCCATCCATCTATCCACCCATGCCCATCCTTAAATCGGACACATAGTTGGGCCTTATGACTGACAAACAACTTCTCCAGAAGGTCGCTGGCGTACGGTGCCAGTGTCTGATCCCCCATCAGACCCAGCAGTCTGGATGGAAGTCCTCCATCAAGCTTGAGTAGATACTCTGCACCCAAGTGCTCCACCAGGCAGGCCAGTGTGCCATACTTCCCTTTCATATGCCACTCCAGTGCTAGAAGGTCCCGGGTGAGCTGGCTGATATAAGGGTCGGTGGTGGGATCGGACTTGTGATCACTGCAATGCTGGTGGATCTTGAGAAGGTTTTGGAACAGGGTACGCATCTGGTGGCGGACACCATCCAGCGGGTGTTCCCAGTGGGCATAGATGTGGTGGTGAAGGCGTGAAATTAGAGGAGAGCCTCCGACCAGAGACGAGCGAAGGAGAGGGGGACACGTGTCGACCTGGACGCATTCAACCACTAGTCCGCTCCAGAGCGTCAAAACCCGAGCCACTACCATCACTGTACTGGACTCCTTAACTCTGAGAGAGATTTATGTTAGAGAGCAGTAAATGGAAATCAAGGCTGTCAACTTTAACTAGCTACATTAACCATATTAACTAAGAACAGTTTTACAACGTGAAACAGGTTGAATTCAGAGATGCTACTTCTCTGAGAAACAATTAGACCATTACTCTTTCATGTTGCTTTCTGTCAACTGAAATGCTGTAATTGCGTTATTTTTTTATTTATTATTGATAAACAATTTTACCAATATGAAATATGAAAAGAAAATAATGTATTTCTGATTTCTTTTTATTAACAAAATATATATTTTTTTTAAGTTTTTGGTTTAATATTGTGCTGCATCTTTATAAAGACTGTTTAAATTTATTTATTTATATATTTTTAAAAATTTATGATGAATATACACTACCATTTAAAACTTTGATGAATTAAATTGATCAAAAGAGAAAAAAAGAAAGAAATATGTTAAACAAAAAACTACATTTCAAAGAGATGCTTCTGTACTTTCTATTCATCTAAAAAAGTTTTGGGGAAAAAAAAGGATTTTCACAAAAATATTAAGCAGCAAATACTGTTTTCAACATTGATAATGATAATAAAATCAGTAAATCAGCACATCTGAATGATTTCTGAAGGATCATGTGACTGACGACTGGAGTAATGATAATGGAAATTCAGCTTTTCCATCACTGAAATAAATTTCATTTTAAATGTATTAAAATAATCAATAAATCAATTATTTAAAATCCATCCTTGGTGAGCATAAAAGCATTTTCTAACGTTTGGATCAGATTCCAACCTTTAGAATGGTAACACCCACAAAATTGAATGCAAAGAAAAAAAAGTCTTATCTTCCGGTTTATACATATAACTGTGGGGAGGAAGAAAAATACACAAACAAATTCATGGTTCAGATAAACCACTGACTAGTCAATTGTTAAACTATATATTTGAACCATATCCTTGTGTGAATTCATTTGGCATTTTCAATACCTTGTATCTAGAGACAGGAGCACTTCAGGTATGAGCAGCAGCAGTTTCTCTATCTGTGGACTATGAGTCTTTCCTCTCCAGCTGAGCATAGCCAGAGCTCCATGACTTAGATACAGAGCCACAGCTGCAGGCCTGCTGCTGTCATACAGACCTGCACAGCTCAGCCTCAACCACTGGGGGACAGTGTCGCCTGCATCCACTGAACACTGCAGGAGACCGGCAACCTACAAACACATTTCACACACAGCCAGGAATGGGTTCCAATGCAGCTCAAGTTGGGATAATGATAGTACAGATAGAGATAATGAGATAATGATAGTACAAAATACAATGCTGGACTCTTGCTCCTGGAAAGAAGGAATGCTCACTTACTATAACTGGTACATCATCTCCATTCACCATAATAGATCTAATAAGCAAAACAACAGCCATCCCAGCAGTGCTCTGGACCGTCTGAAGAAACTCCTCTGGATGGGGAAAAAAGGCAAGAACAAATATAACATACAAATACAATAATACAAAAATAAATACAACATGCAACAACAACAAAATTGGAAATATAAACAAAGCCTCATTGTTAATTGCATATGCAGAATACAGTGGTCTAAACAATACCATCAGTCAAGATCCATGTATAGCAGTTCAGTAGTCCACAGAGAACTTGATGCAGATCAGATTGGTCACTTGAAGCTGAAAGCATTGCAGAACTAATGGGTTCCTGAGATCTCTGAACCACCAGCATTGAGGCCTTCACCACTGCCAGACAGGACTGCATCAGCTGAGCCTGGGCTACATGACGACCCGCCAGACCCCTGAAAACATATCAAATGGAAATATACAACAATAAACCATGTTACAGACAATTTTCAAAGATTCTAGATAATAGGAACAAGATTTAAACATTTTCACCCATGCATACAGCACATTATTTAATACACAAGTGATCAGTTTACCTGTTCTGCTCCACATAATAATTTAAAGTCCTTTGGAAGAAGTGGAGGACTAGGAGAGAGAAAAAAAGTCAGTGGCCGTATTAGCAAAACAAAGCTGAGAAAGCCAAAGGTATACCATTAAATTATTAACTTGTTTTCTAACCTTCTGTTAGCAAGCGATGAACACATTTCTCACCTGTAAATCAAGAAAAACTATTTAAAATTATATTAAACTACATCTGAAAAGTTTGTGGTAAAAAGAAAATTAAAAAAATAAAAGAAGTCTTGTCTGCTTACCAAGATGGCATTGACTTGACAAAAAAAAATAAAATAAAATAAAATAAAAAAAAAAAAAAAAAAAAAAAAAATATATATATATATATATATATATATATAAAATATAATATATAATATACTGTGTGACATATTACAAATTAAAATAATTTCTTTCTATTTTTATACAATTTTATAAAAAGTGATTTATTGCTATAATGGCAAATCTGACTTTTCTGAATTACTCCAGTCTTCGGTGTCACATGATTCTTAAGAAATCAGTTTAATATGTCGATTCGGATTCGGTGCTCAAGAAACATTTCATATTATTATCAATTTTGAAACACTTGAGTTGCTTAATATGTTTGTGTAAACCTTGACACATTATTTCAGAATTCTTTTTTTATTATTATTAATTTTTTTTTCAAGTAACAGCATTTATTTGAAATAATATGAAATAATATGTAAAATTACGGTTGAGTATCGTTTGAATGTTAACGATTCAGATTTAGATTCTGCTTATCTATTCTGATTTTTATCCATTTCTAATTTTGTTTTCAATAAGGTAAAAAAAAAAGCATTTAGAATAAATCTGAATGATATCCAAGTCTTATGTCTTACTGCAAACCATTTAATTGTAGCTGAATAACATGAACAAAAAAAATCAACGAGCTAAAGAACACTTTCACAAGGAACTTTTGCTTATGGTTTAAAAACACCACAGCAAAAACAACTAGCCTAGCTAATATACAATTTAAACATTATTAAAGACAAGTTAACACTTAGTAATTTAAAAAAAAAAAAAAAAAAAAGCAAAAATTTAGCAATTTAGCAATTGCACAAATAAATACAACTAAACAGACATACGACTGAAATAGGGGGTGGTGATGGCGCAGTGGATAAGACACATGCCTGTGGTGTGAGAGACCCAGGTTCAAATCCACTGCGAGACACCAATGTGTCCCTGAGCAAGATACTTAACCCCTCCAGAGGCGTGCGACCTCGGACATATATAGCAATTGTAAGTCGCTTTGGATAAAAGCGTCAGCTAAATGAATAAATGTAAATGTAATATTTTAATGGGGTCATGAACTGGCTTTTTAAATTTTATTATATTGTTGTCTGAGGTCAACTTATGACGTTCGCTTGGTTTTTGCATTCAAAAACATCCAAATGAATAAGTAATAGGCTATTTTGATTTTTGAATCCAAGTTTTTAGCCTAGCTGAAAAACGCTGAATTATGGGCGTCTCGCACTGAAGACTTGGAAGTAAACGCCCACTGCTGTGAGTGGATAACAGTTTTGCATATCATAATGAGTCCCGTAAATGCACATGGGGGAAATTTTTTTGAAACATCCAATGTTGTAAAATGGCATCCGGAATGATTCGACCCAGAGTCCGTGTGTTGCACAATTCCTGTCAGATCCAATATAGACGGCACAGCACCGTTCTTTACTCTTAATCGGTCTGCAAATCCAGTCTTGTTTACAGGACAATCCTCAGTGAAATGAAGCGAACAGACGGTTTTACCCGCATCAGCTGGAGTGGAACGTCATTAAAAAAAAGTTTATCCATGCAGTCCTATTAGAATCCAGAGGAAGCATATGCAGCGACTGTCGTCTTTCACAACCAGGCACTGCACAATATTCTGTATTGCTCGGTAGCTCGATCCGGTTTGTCATCACGAGGTAGGCCTATGTTATTTAGCTATGCGTGATTGCGTGTAATGCGTGAATCGGTGGGCGGGGCTAAACCAGCCGTGTTGAAGTAGGAGTTGATCTTCTTCTGCGGGGGTGGTGTTTTATCCTCTTTGACGTCATAGTTCCCCACTTTTAAAAACGAGTCGTTTGCTGGGGCTGATGTCAATAAAAGCCAGGGCTGTAGTACTCGAGTCCGGTCTCGGACTTGTCTCGGGCTCGCTGGTATTTGGACTCGGACTTGTCTCGGTCTCGGCCACTGGTCTTGCCAAATATGGCTTTTGGTCTCGATCGAGCCCAACATCTTTGTATGTGTGCTCATTTATTACTAGCCTATCAGGGTAACGTTAACTTAGAAAATGCCCAAATTAACCGACCAAGTGCTCACTACAACGGATCGCGTCTTCTCATGCAGTTACTATAGTTAGTGGATGTTGCGCACGATTCCCGCAGGTCTCCCATTTATAATGTGGGATATTCCCGCAATCATAATCCACACAGATTATAAAATCAAATCATTCTTTTAATAATTATCTGCCAGACGCAATTTCACAAACAGCGTTAGTGTTTAACGGTGCCGCGTCTTCTCTTCTCTCAAAATGTGTTGTGGAAGGCGCATCATGCGCTGCTGCGATAATACACACTCGTGTTCAGGATTCATAAAAATAAAGCTTACCATTACACATCTTTTTAAGTCTTACCAGTTTAACATTCAAGCAATTTTAAACTATCAGTCCTCGTGCACTCTCTGGGATGACTATGCGCACATTCATAGAAAATCTGCCTCAAGAACAGCTGACCACTAACAAAAGTTATTTTTCACGGATTAGCTACAGTGCCCTCCACAATTATTGGCACCCCTGTTTAAGATGTGGTCGAGGACTTTTAAAAATTCTCCCTTTTTTTTAAACAACATAGAATCCAAATGCAAAAAAGAGAAAAATCCAACCTTTTATTTAAGTACATTACTTTGGTGGTAAAATTTTTTTTTTAAATTTAAAAAAATAAAAACTTCAAATCATGTGTCCCACAATTATTGGCACCCCTGATGTTAATACTTTGTACAACCCCCTTTTGCCAACAAGACAGCACTTAATCTCCTTCTATAACATTTCACAAGATTGGAGAACACAGAGAGAGGGATCTTTGACCATTCTTCTTTGCAAAATCTTTCTAGATCATCCAGTATCCTGGCACTCTCCTCTTTAGCTCACCCCACAGGTTTTCGATTGGATTGAGGTCTGGGGACTGAGATGGCCATGGGAGGACCTTGAGTTTGTGACTGAACCATTTTTGTGTAGATTTTGCCACACGTTTTGGATCATTATCCTGCTGAAAGACCCAATGACGACCCATCCTCAGCTTTCTGGCAGAGGCCATCAGGTTTTTATTTAAAATGTCCTGGTAGTTCAAAGCGTTCATAATGCCATGCACCCTAACAAGGTTCCCAGGGCCTTTGGAAGAGAAACAGGCCCACAGCATCACAGATCCTCCACCATACTTCACGGTGGGCATGAGGTACTTTTCGGCATACACATCTTTTGTTTTACACCAGATCCACTTAGAGTGTTTGTTGCCAAAAAGCTCAATCTTAGTCTCATCCGACCAAAGCACACGATCCCAGATGAAGTCCCAGTGCCGCTTGGCAAACTCCAGACGTTTACGTTTATCAGTGTTAGTGAGAAAAGGCTTTTTCCTAGCATGCCTCCCAAACATCTTGTTGGCATGTAGAGAGCGTCTGATGGTTGTTTTGGAGATTTTGTGACCCCAAGATGCCACTATTTGATGCAATTCTGTGACAGTGAGCTTAGGACTTTTTTTTTACTTTTCTTAGCATCCTCCTCACAGTGCGTTGTGGCAAGATAAACTTGGGACCTCTTTCAGCCTTGTTTGTCACTGTTCCAGTTGTTTTAAACTTCTTAATGATTCCTCTAACTTTAGATACGGGCAAGATAAGGTGAGTGGCTATTTTCTTGTAGCCATTGCCTGACTTATAAAGGTCATCACACATCTGCCTTACTTGAATGGTGTGTTCTCTTGTCTTTGCCATGTTGACAAATGGGTAAGAGAATTAGGCCTCTGTGTCATGTCATATTTATACCCCAGGGAAATAGGAAGTCATGAATTACTAATTAAAAGTTCCTAGATATCCTGACCAACATTAGCAACTACAGAAAATATATATTTTTTAAAAATCAATTACATTTTTTAGCGGAATTGTTAGGGGTGCCAATAATTGTGGGACACATGATTTGAAGTTTTTATTTTTCTAAATTTTTACATTTTTTTTTACCACCAAAGTAATGTACTTAAATAAAAGGTTGGATTTTTCTCTTTTTTTGCATTTGGATTCTATGTTGTTTAAAAAAAAAGGGAGAATTTTTAAAAGTCCTCGACCACATCTTAAACAGGGGTGCCAATAATTGTGGAGGGCACTGTATATTGCTTTAACTAACACTCAAAACTGTGTCAATTTTGGTCTTCGTCAGTATAATGGTCTAAACATAGTCGGTTTTGTCTTTAATAAGCATAAAACGCATGCCAGGATAATGAACAGAGAATCCATGCACTAGGTCTTAAAGTGACCGCAACCATATGCCGGCCATTCATTTTGTCGTCAAAACAACAAAAGAGAGCTTTAAGTTAAAGGAATCAGGATTAATAGGCAGGATTAATGTGTTTAATTTATTCAGGACTAAAATACTATTCAGTGTTGTTTTCCATTTGATTACTTTATTCAGTTTCTGTCAAATACTAGTGTTAGACCTATTCAAAAACGTTTCTCTTTATTTGCCTTTATTTGTATCTTTATTGTATTTATTTGTATAACTTTTTTCAATTTAATTGAACAATTTAAATCAAGCCTTGTGTTGTGTAAATTCTTAACAACATTACCCCATTGTAACAAAATGCAACGAGCGCAAACATTTAGGCAAGATAAATTTAATAATTTTGTTTGGCAAAAACGAAATTCAGGCCCTGAAGATGTTTTTTTACTGTCCTGGACTCGGTCTTGACTTGGACTCGAACCTCTTTGGAGTCCTGGTCTTGGACTCGACAAAGGTGGTCTTGGCTACAGCCCTAATAAAAGCTTTTTCAGTTCTGAAACTTACAGGATATTTTTATAATATGATGACCTCTTAGATGTCAAAAGCTCTAGTGTAACATTGGTCTCGGTTGTCCCCAGAATGTATTTGTGAAGTTTCAGCTCAAAATACCCCACAGTTAATTTATTATAACCATTTGAAAATGTCATTTTGCAGCCTGTTTGAAAATGAGCTGTTTTGAGGCATGCCACTTTAACGCAAATGAGCTGCATATCCCCGCCCTGCCTTTGGATGAGGGCGTAACTTGAAACCTATGGCTATGGCAGTCGGTCTAAGCAGAAGGGGAGAGTGAGAGACGCGCTGTTTTGAATGTCATTCAGCGTATGTTTGAATCGGAATATATAAATAGCACAAAGAGACTCCGGCAGAATAAACACAAATGAGAATGGACCAGTACGGTTATACGAGACTTCCTTAGATTTCCACGGCGCATGCGCGAGAATTGCGATCTGCTTACACCAGCTTACACTACTTCAGATCACAATTCTCGCGCATGCGTCGTGGAAATCTAAGGAAGTCTCGTTTCTGGCCTACAAGGAAGAAAAGAAATAGTCGAATAAACTCGTTATTTTTGTTTGTTTTTTCGCACAAAAAGTATTCGCGTCGCTTGATAAACATATAGTTGAGCCACGGTAGTCACTTGGGATATTTAAACATTTTCTTCATTGACTTTTTGGGCCGTCAAGAGGCAGTCCCTTAGGCAGCCAATGTGGTAGTTATACAGCTCTCAAATTTAATCAAAAATATCTTCATTTGTGTTCCGAAGACGAACTAAGGTCTTACGGGGTTGGTACAGCATGGGGGTGAGTAATTAATGACTTAATTTTCATTTTTGGGTGAACTAACCCTTTAAAAGCATGTGACGTCATTACGTACAGGTTTTTATTCGCTTTAAAGCCGTTGGATGGAAACACACTTTCACCAGCTTTATCCGCATGAGTTTTTTAACCGAATTTCAGATAATTCGATTGACAAGTGGATGGAAACATGGCTAGTAACACGATAGCATAATAAGGGTCCCTACAATCAAACCGAAGCATTGAGAACTTTGTCAGTGTCCAAACAGTTTAATAAGAAGATATTTCATACACACAGTCAACTTTGCGAATACAGGAAGAAGCCATCTTTGAAAAATAGTCTCTACCAGTCGATCTACGAACGCCGATCCAAGTGCGCTGAACTGTGCAGAATATCATATGGTCCGTTGTTTTCGGAAGAAACACAAACACGAACCGTTTTCTTCTCTTCAATATGTACATGTAGCCTACTGTTCGCGCTCACCTTATCACATTATTCACATTTCACCAGCGCACATGGATCGGCGTTCGTAGATCGACTGGTCGAGACTATTTTTCCAAGATGGCTTCTTCCTGTATTCGCGAAGTTGACTGCGTTTATAAAATATCTTCTTATTAAACTTCATGGACACTGACAAAGTTCTCAATGCTTCGGTTTGAATGTAGGGACCCTCATTATGCTGTCGTGTTACTGTGGGGCTATTTTGAGCCTTGTTAGTGGTAATTACAAGCGATTTTTATTTGTCATTACTCTATGCCCCATATACTAGCGTTATACTAGCATTATAGGCTAAACTGTTTTTAGAGATAAAACTATTTACGTTCGGCAATCATGAAAACAAATCTCAGATAACGGTTGACTAGGTAACAATGTGTAATTAGACCAAAGGTTCATTTTGCACCGGAGTTGTCCTTTAAGATATTTGATGAAATATACTTGGTTACTCACGTAACCTCAGTTCTCTCGTGAACGGTCACTTCGCATTGTGTAGCAAGTTACATAAAAGTTACAAAAGTTACAAAAAAAGGAGTTTTCCCACTGCGGATAGCTACGGAATATGAAGTGACCATTCGAAAGGGAACCAAGTGTTTTCCAATCCCCTATAGACAGCAACACAATTAACACTTTTAAGACCCAGAAAAGTAGTACAAAAAATGCACTGTTAAAATAGTCCATGTGAATACAGCGGTTCAACCTTTTTTTTATGAAGTGACGAGAATACTTATTTGTGAGCAAAATAATAATAACAATAATGACTATTCAGAATTCAGATATTTCTTCTCTTCTTCAATCTCTGATGCTGTTCATGCGAGCACTTTAAAGGGATAGTTCACCCAAAAAGAAAAATTCTGTCATTACTTAGGCTACTCGCCATCATATGTCGTTCCAAACCTGTAAGACTTTGTTCAGCTTCGAAACACAAATAAATATCTTTTTGATGAAATCTTTCTGTCCTTTCATTGACAGCTACGCAACTACAGATTTGACTCTTCAAAAAGTTCAGAGAGATCATAAAACTAATCCATATGAATTGAGAAGATAAAGGAAACTCTTACAGATTTGGAACATCATGAGGGTGAGTAAATAACAGAATTTTCATTTTTGGGTGAACTATCCCTTTAAGATATATAACTTCTAAAATGAATTCACTTAGACATACCAATTTTAAAGCCATCCAGACAGGAAGTGATGCTATCTGTTAGGTGTGAGAAGTGATCTGTATTCGTAAAGGAGAGAGAGGAAGACAGGCACTCAGACAGACATCCAACCGTTTTCTCCTCCAGCCAATCTGGGCCACTACGTAGTGCACTGGTGGTGGAAAAGAAAAAGAATATGCCATTATGTTAAATAAACTAAGTGCCCAGAAGTCATTAAAAAAGAGTTGCTGATTTCAAGTCACATGAGTGACAGTGAAATGTGGGTACTTTTAACCTTGCTACAGCTCTCTTAAGCGGGTTCTTAGCTGGCAGTGTGGTATACAGGAACGCTAGTGTGCCCAGGCAGGAATGCAGTAAAGGACCTGTAGAGGATTCATCCTCTCTCAACTGCTCCAACATGACGCCTGCCTGCAGTCAACATTCAAACCAATTAATTGAAAGTGTTAAGCGATTACATTCTGTATACTTAAATGATGAATGTGATATAGACCGGCCTTAGAGATGAGCTGGATCTGCTCAACTGGGTCTGGTGAAGATAAACTGTCCTTCAGAACTTGAGCAAGCTCTATTAATCTACTGTCCCCCTCCACAGATAAGGAATCTGGGAGAAGAAAACATAAAGAAATATTACAGGGAAATATATGCATTGCAACCACAACACAACCACTAAAGGTTGGTGATATCGGTCACTCACCTGTCAGGCTCTTCAGCTTGACATCATCCAAAACTACAGCCTCCACTTTAGGTGTTTTTTTCTTCACAACCATGACTGACGTTAGTTCTGGGGCATAAAAACAACTGCAGATTAGAATCATAAATGTATCGTTTAATTATTTAAAAAGCTAATACAACAACTCAATAAGATCAACTTTAAACTAATTTACAGCGCTAGGCTTAGTGTAACCTAACGTTAGTGCTAGTCACTTTTTTGTTTCCTGCAGACATATTAAACCGACGTTCTCCAACACCGTACACCCTATTTTACTGCACATTCAGAACACTATAAGGCATAAACATATATTGTCATACCTCTGCAATAAAGCAGGTACCGGTGAAAAAGTTCAATACTGAAATACAATACTGCGTGTAGAAATCAGTAATTCCGCAGGAACATAACATACACGTGTGACGCGTCAATTCCGGAATCACTATGAAAGACCGCCCAATTAAACATATGATTGGTCCAGACTCAACACCTCAGATGTGTGATTGGTCCTCAGGAAAATCAATCATTTCTGACATCACCGTTCTCCAAAAAAGCGTCCAAACCACACCTACAATGGTTTGATTGTGCGTGCTCGTAAAAACACGCCCCTGAACCCGCCCACTTCCACAGTACGATGCTGGAGTGAAAACTTTGAGCTAGAAAACGCTCGCTCTTTATATCATAATTAGGTCATTATTGCAATAACAACTGGGACAACACGGAATAATATGTTTATTATGGTGTGAAACCAGTGCCATCTACTGCACTGTAACACTGAGTGTCGGGTAAGGATATAATCTTTAACTATTAACAAAAAGTATTAGTTTGTTTTTGTTTCTTGATAAAGTGAATATGAGGGAATAATTGCTTAAATGTGGTTCATGTTGTTTAAAGTACACTATTTGTTGATTTTATATGATTTAGTTAACACATTAACTCTGTTCTGTTTTTTTTTTCTGTTCATTTTCATGAACACAACCAATTGAATTGCATCGTCATTATTTCAACTGCTGTTAACTTGTAGATTATTGTCGTTCTGTACACATAGACCTTTTTTATATCAAGATTTTAGTTTAAAATTTGTATGAATACTATTCTGGTTTTTATACCATATTCATCATTAATATATATATATATATATATATATATATATATATATATATATATATATATGTTGTCTTAATTCATTCATTTCCAATGGCCCACTAATATTTGATAGTACAAATATTCCACATAGTGCCCGAAAATCTGTCCAATCAAAAGATTAACCTGTAATTACAGTTATGTGGAATCATTGTATATTTGCCCTCTATGGAACTGCAGAGAAAATGTGGAGATCCTTTAATGGAGCCAAAAGACCACTGTCCATCTCCTGAGATGCAAATTCCTACCAAAATTCCCAGATCTTTGTATACATTTCTAGATCTACATTTAATGACTTTGTTATCCACTTTGGCTCACTTTCCCTAAATGTGTCTCTCAAGGAGGTTGTTCCACAGTAACATGTTGTTTTTATTCACATTGGTTGAGATTCAAACCCTCAGTTTTATTTACCACAGCTTAATTGAGCTCAACACATGTTTGCACTCCCTTTGTGCTCATGCCAATGCTGTAATGACAGCTTATTATAACTAGAGTAGTTGTAGTGTAAAGTGTTCACTCACATTTTTCTGCTGTGCTTTACAACACCTGATTTACATCAGTTAACACGTGTTTTTCGAAATTGAAAGTTTACGATGGAAAAGTGTGATGGTGTATCAGTGCTGCCTGGTTTTGTTTGTTTTTATAGTGGTGGTCAGTTTGTCCAGGGCTCTGCCTGGCCCTCGAACACTTTTGACGTTTCCACACAACCAAATACAGACTGTCTTTGCTGTTTATTTCCAAGTATTATTGATGTGAAAATGATGATGTGTGCATGAACCATAAATGTTTTGATGGGGTAAACCATTTATTAATAAGATTCCAGTTTCTTAAATCCATAAAAGACACCTGGCATATGCTTGTATCAATCACAATGTTGTGGCAAATAAACCCTCTTCAGTATATTCGCTGTTGTTGCTATACTGTTTGTTCATTGTAAAATGCCCAAACAAACATAATTATGAGTTCTATGACACATAAGAAGTTGTGAAAAGTCAAGAACGTTTTGAAACAAGGTGTAGATTCTGTCTAAATGTTAGTAAAACAAATTTTGCAATTCATGATGATGATTTTAATGTGCTCTCCATTTCCATTTTCCATTTGCATCTGCATCTCAGCTTTTATTCATATTAAGCTGAATCAACATGGTGGGTGATCGTTGGTCAAAGTTAAAACCGCAAATTAACTAAATTTTCCCTCATCAATCATGGCTGAATGAATCTCAACATTAATGTACAAGTATTTTGATAACCTATTTACAACCACCAAACATTGTCCCAATGTTATATTTTAATGTTGAAACAACAACACAACCTACATTTTTTTTTTTAAACTAAATTGTTTTTAAACGTTGAAAGTCAGTCACATCATGCTGTCTGGTTTTGTTGGGCCATTAAGTTATCTAAAGTCCATGTCATTAGAAACATTTTGGTACTTAATTTCCATAGACCAGTTCCTTAGACCAGACTTTCCATTTCTATGAAATTATTCATAGGAATGGAAGATCAATCAATTGATTGATCTTGAATCAATCACGTTTGATTCATTTACATTATCCAAAATGTTTTATTTATTTATTTATTTTTAACAGAAGTCCCTCCTGACATTTTTCATGTAGATAATTAATGTAGATAATTATGTGGAAACATGCGTAGGTTAAACTGTATTTTTACTGTTTTTTCTTACATTTAAACATTTTGAAGCAAATTGGTGAATCAAGGTTAAATCACTGCTTATATTAGTTTCGGTTTTGCATATGGAATCACTGTTGATATCGCAACTTTGTATCTTTTCAACATGACATTGTTGATCTGCTATTTTGTTAACCTTTTTACGTTAAGCATTAAGCGTTATTTAAGTGTTTTTTCAATGTTATTTTAACCACATATCAATGTTAAAATGTTGCTGGTTATTCCAAATGATATTTGTTTTGCTATACATCACCCAGCCCTGCAGCTGATTTGTATTTGGACCCATGTTCATTCTTGAGTGGTTTTCTACTGCATGTTCTGTGTGTCCGTCTGCTTCAGTCTCATGCTGTGTTTATAATATTGCAGGGCCTGAGGGGTGACGGCATGGCAGAGGGTGATGAATGCGCAGGCAGGGAGTGGAAAGACAAGTACATGGCCCTTGAGGCCCTGCTCTTCAAGTTCCGTGGGCAGATGAACGTGATCCGAGAGCTCACGGCAGAAAAGGTCAGTCAAACGGTCCCTGAGTTCTTTCACTTGGACTGCTGTTTTACACTGGTACTCTCGGATCTTTAAAAATAATTATATCAAACTGAATGCTGAGCAAGTAAAACCTACTTTACCGCTAGCCATCTTTTATTCAAATAATAACAGACCAGGCATAAGATTTGTCTGCAACTGTCACCACCCCAGTAATTCCTGTCTGTAGTAATACAGGAGAGTTGTGTGAATTACTCAGTAGTGTAAATTCTTGGAAAAGCGAAAAAAAAGCCACCTATTAAATTATTTGCTCATTTCCATGTTTGGTTTTCATTTCCATGAATATGTATGTGTGTGTGTATTGTGCCATTGTGCCATGGCCTATTTCTTTGGCCTATCTCGAGGGAGAGCAGATTAGAGGTTAATATAAACAGACGCCTGACCACAGGGCTCCAGACTACTGCATTCTGGTATAGCAGAATCGTCTTTGAATTACAGACTCGAGATGGGTGCTTTAAATGTCTTGCCTTTGCGGAGAAGTCAAGTTTAGGATTTTTTTTTTTTTTTACTAAATATATATTTATATTGTATGTTTTACATTACATTTCAACATTGAAGGTCAATCACATGAAATCTGGTTTCATTTGGCCCTTAAGTTTCCCAAAGTTGATGATGTCATCATTAGACACAATTTGGTTACTTCATTTCCATGGACTAGTTCAAACTGTCTGTTTCAGTGAACTGATTCATAGTCAGCTCCCAAAGTTTTGGCTCCCAAAGTTTCTTCTTTATCTTTCAATAATGGCCTCTTGAAACCAGCATCACAAAACAATCTGAGTTACCGGTAAACCAAATAAGTGTTGGACACAAAGTGACTTTTACAGGAACAGAGTTTGTTCACCAATTTAATTATTTTATTTTAGTTTTGTAATATTTTTTTCTTTAATCTATCGCTTTTGATTTATTTGTTCCTTCTCAATAACTTGTGTAATGAAAAAAATTTAATGATTCCATCATTTAAGAATCTCATTTTAATGGTTCCTCATTCCTTCATCTATAGACGTGTTGTTGTTATCAGCTGGGTACCGTCTGGGCCCGCTTAAGTTTGCCATATATTATTCCTCCCTTGCATGGCATGTCGATGCATTCGCTTACAGCAGTAATTAAAAGCTGCTATTAAATGTTTACATTGGGCCTCTCTCTTAAAATGTCCTCTCGCTGCAGATCCTGGATCAGCTGTGCTGTCATATACAGATAGCTGGTACGATCAGTTTGAGGAAATGTCAGAGATTAATCATGTAGAACTGGACAAAGGAAGAGGATGATGGGAAAGGAGTAGGTCATAGGGTAAAGAAAGTAGGGAAGTAGGAAAGTGTGGGATAATTAACTTGTCGCCCAAAAAAACGATCAAAAAAAGGTAGGCTAGTTATAGTTATATAGATCTATAATAAACAAAAACCATCACACACCTGCAGACGATAGGTGCATAGGAAAACAACGAAAAGAGGAGATCGGTCGACAATCTGCAAACGAGAAACTCCCGCACACTATCAAAAAAAAAATATATATATATATATATATATATATATTTGCAATGTTTCGGTCTCATGACCTTCATCAGGCACATCAGGAGATATCCCATAAAAAAATTATTGATGAATGGCAAAATGTGCGTACATTGTAAAAAAGTTTTTGTTTTTTGTTTTTCTGCTGAATTGATGCAGATACATTTTTTGGACTATTCACATTCCACAGCATCTCAAATGTTGGTTTGATGATTCTGAAATGTCTGAGCCAAAGTCTGTTATTAGAATGATTTGGCATAATGACCTCTCAGAAGTTTCTCACATGATTGTGTTCCCAAACACCATCCAAAAACAAGAGAACCTGACAGTGTTTATTGTGTTTCTTCTGCGTGCTCTGAAGCCCCTTTTCCACCAAAGCATTTTGAGAGCCGGTTCGGAGCCGGAGCCTGCGCGCGAACCAGTTCTTTGTGTTTCGACAGCCAAAGAACCGGTTCGCGGCCTTGAAAACTGGTTCCAAAGCGGCACCAACTCTTTGCTGGACTAGAACCGTTCTTTTACCACGTCATGCTTATTTTATTAGATTAAAAGACTTACATATTTCAATTGTTTTTAAAGTTTTCTTGGTACACAAGTTAGAGATAATCCCAAAGCAATGTACTTGCAAGCATTTCTAGCGACGTGCACAGTGACGTAATGATGTCGTTCCCTGGGCGCTCTAGTCAGTGGAAAAACAAACAGGTTCTAAACGGGTTCGCAAGTTGAACCAACTCCGAACCAACTTTGAACCAGCACCAGTTCCGAACTCGAAGGGACTATCCTTCTTAGTTATCCTTCCTAGTTAATGGGTTGTCTCAAACTATGATGAATTTGTTTTGAAATTGTTTTGTAGATTTGCACATGCCTTGTGGGATAATGAAGAGGTATAAGAGTGAAAGAGAAAGAGAGGGAGTAAAATGGGAGGAGAGAGACATATGAACAGAGTGGCAAAACAAACTATCCTTTAATCACTGAGACTCCCATGGGAGGAAATGCCTGGTTTCGTGCTATACAGGAAGTTAGCATTCTAAATACATACACAAACAAACTTGTATATGCTGATGCAAGTGTGGTTTGTTGGGAGAAATGTAGGTCATTTTCTCTCCTGCTTTGCATACTTTTTAATAAAGTTTGAAATGAATCAAACAGACATGGACAGCAACTGCTCATCATGCAAAGAAACTCAAAACAGTAACGAACATTCGCAGTGAGCCATCGTCAAGGAATGTCACGAAGGATCCCATGAAGTAAACTTCAGTGGCTAAACCATATCCTGCTTCTGAACCCATGCAAACCTTTTCTTTTAAACCGTTATGGTAAAATTAAGGGCAGTTTCAAGTGCAGTTAAACATACTGTACTTACTTGTGTTCTCACACAGAAAGCACATTGTGCGAAGTCTGAATCTGTTATTGGTTAACGCTCCGCGTCTCCTTGTGCCCAACAGCCTCAGATTGAGTCCACGTTTAGTTGGGTGTCCAGAGAGTTCAGACGTTGTTGTTATTGACATGTTTCGGACATTTTCCCTAGTGCTCTGAGCCCTCTCCTCAGACAGCACCCCAAATATGTATATTTTATACTATATCTGATTATATGTACATGTGAACTTGTGAATATTATATGTAATTGGTTACACTTTACAATAAGGTCCCATTCCCAATGCTTTAGCTAACATGAACTAACAATGATCATGAATACTGTATATTTCTTGAGTTTTTTTTTTTTTTTTCCGTTTGCCCTAATTCTCCGTTCCAAACAACTCAGGATTCTGATTTTTCCCACGCCCTAATTGTAAATAACACCCGGAACGCTGTTTGATGTCGGACATCTGACCTGTGAACTCTGGGCAAATCTTTCAACCCAGACCTCAGTGAGATCACTTCCAAGATGGCGGCGCCGGCAAGTCCTGCTTCCAGCAATCATTGCGTGAAGCCACCCTATGTCAAATGTAAAAACAAACTTCAACAATAAACATTACGTATTTACGTTCATATATTGATACATTTAATTTTTTCCTGTTGTCAGCCCTTTTTGATGTGAACGCATTTTCTTTTTTGCCAAAAATGCTCTTGTGTCGTTGCGACATCATGCCCCTTTAAATTAATTATCATAAAATGTATAATGGTATAATTTTCTCTGAGAGAAAAAATATATATATATTATTCTTATTTCAGCAATGGACTAGAACATTTAGAAATGTTAGCTTCTAGCACATTCCAAAGTGTATCCAATATACAGTGTGCTGCTGTTCCCCCTGAGTGTGTAGGACACAGATGAGTGGAGTGTAGAGCAGAGGCCGGGTGACGCTTGGGAATTTGGAGCTGTGGTGCAGTGAGGGGTGTCATACAGACAGGCTTTGTGAGCTGGCCTGTAGAGGGAGGCTGGATGAGGGGTGCAGGGCGGGCCGGCCACAGAAGGCCGTGGATGGAATTCATGGAATGGAAGACTGACTGTAGCCAGGACCACATGGAGTGGAGAAGCTAGGAGTGATCGTAGTAGATTAAAGAAAACTATTGATTAAAATGTGGAGTTTACAGGTGCAAACTGGTGAAAGCATCCATGGAGGTTTTTAGTTTGTTTTTGGTATAATGCACTCCCATCATGTCTTACTCATTTGAAAAAAAAAAAAGTTTTTTTTTTTTTTTAAATCAACAATCAAATCATTATTTTCTGTCAGAAAAGAATAAATAATAATAATAAAACTAATAATACCCTTTTGCATGGAGCATTAATTAGTTTAATTATTTTGTGGCCATGTTTTATTCACCACCCTCCGTTTTATTTGTTAAAATCATAGACACAAGGGAAAAAATTAGTACTTGGTGGCCACAATTTAATTGAATCTAAGGAACAAAATTGTTTTTGTGCAATTGTAGCAGCAATATCTTTTTTCCCTCCCTTCATTGTCAAAGCTCCATATGGTTGTGATGCTTATTTTCACTGAAATGGTTAAACATGTAAGCAAGATGATCTGAATCAATTTGTGATTTCAGACTGCTCACTGTAGTACTGGATTGTTTGGAGTACCATAGAATACCAAATAGGACAGGCACTGCAGATCAATCACAGACAAAACATAGCTGAATAGGCTATTTTACTTCTTTCAAAGGTTTGAAATCTTTTAAACACAACATTGTTTCTAGGTGGACTCCAGCTAGACTAGATTACACTGTTAAAAATTTCGAGGTCCGTACGTTTTTGAAAGAAGTATTTAATTTGATGAAAAACTAAAATAAGAACATTAATATTGTGAAATATTATCACAATACAAAAGAGCAGTTTTCTATTTGTCTATTTTAAAATGTAATGTATTCCTGTGATGCAAAGTTTTTTTTTTTTAGTTCAAAAAGAACAATATTTGAAAAAAAAAAAAATCTTTTGTCTGACATTGTCTGTCACTTTTGATTCATTCAATGTGGTGATTCTCAACTTTGTTCTGGGGACACTGCTCTGCACATATTGTATCT